GGAGACGGGGGGGACACAGGGGGGAGACAGGGGGAAGTGTGTCTCTGGAGATAAGAGTGTGAGGAAGCACAGACTCCCTCCTCCACCAAACCCCAGACTGAAGATGGTCATTTTTATATGATAAGTCACAGGAGCTGCTGGGCCGCCGCTGCCTCGTGTGGCCAGTGAGTGTCCCGCAGGTAAATCTCTCAAAATGTTTTTTAAATGTCATATTAACATGAATATCACATTTGAATATTCTGACGGAGGAACACACACACACTGTGGCGTGGATGGAGTTCCTGGGTGTGTGTGAGAGAACAGTTCCACAGGAGGCGGGTCCAGGAGGGTGTTGTTGTTGTTGTTGTTGTTGTTGTTGTTGTTGTTGTTGTTCTGCTGATGTCCGTGACAGTGTGAATCATCTCACAGAGCAGCCTGTGGGGTGTGGGGGGGGGGGGGGACACTTGACATTTACACATGAGCAGCCGAGCGTGACCCGCTCCAACCTGACCTTCTCAATGAGCACTCATTGTTGTGACTGTGTTAGACATGAGGGCGGTCTGAAGGAGCGCCAGCAGGGGGCGGTAACGAGGTTAAAAAAAAAATCATATGACCATAGTTGGCACCGGGGGCTGCAGAGTTTTAACACCAACATGTGCTGCTCATCGTCACATGTGACAGGAAGTGGGCGTGTCCCGTACTCACAGTTTCAGCAGGTCTGGACGAGTGTCTGGTCATTCTCCAGGCACGTGGTCCTGCCTGACTCTGAGGCACTCCTGTCAGCAGGGTCAGGGGTTTGATTTCCACCGGGGCCTCCCACACACACAATTAGGCAAAGACGCGGTCAAGGTCGCGCTGCGCTGTCGCTCGTTGGCAGTGATGTCTGTGAGCTGCAGCTGGAGGAAATGTTGATCAGCCAATGAGCAGCAGGAAGACGTGACCTTGACCGTGGGGTTGGTTCATACGCCAACACTGACCGCAGCCACACAGGAGCTGGACTTTCTGACTGCCCTGTGTGTGTGTGTGTGTGTGTGACATTTATTTACCCATCCTAACGAAGCTGCTGCTGCTGCTGTTACTGCTGCTGCTGCTGTTACTGCTGCTGCTGTTACTGTTGCTGCTGCTGTTACTGTTGCTGCTGTTACTGCTGCTGCTGCTGTTACTGCTGCTGCTGTTACTGCTGTTGCTGCTGCTGCTGCTGCTGCTGCTGGTGTTCCTGTTGCTGCTGTTACTGCTGCTGCTGCTGCTGCTGTTTCTGTTACTGCTGCTGCTGTTACTGCTGTTGCTGCTGCTGCTGCTGCTGCAGCTGGGAGACTCATTTATCCTCAAATCTAAGTTGATATTTTCACACCTACCGTGCAGGGATACCTTGACATTCCCACAGTCTTCGGTGCCAAATAAGTTATTTTTTTTAAGGTCAGGTGGAGACGGCTGCCAAATTTGAACCCACTGTAACAGGACGTCCTTGAGAAACCCTGTCCTGAAACAGACGGCTGGATCAGAGACAATTAACTGATATATTGATTATTCACTTTCCAAAAGAGATGATTATATTTATATATATATTAGAAGGAAAGAAAATCCTCAGAGGAACTCCATGAGAAAAGTGTGAAAAAATATCTTAAAAACAGGAAATAATCCTGGGAAAATACCAGGAAATAGATTTAAAAAAAAAACCTTAAAACCATCTGGACAAAGTCACTGCAGAGAAAAACAAATGAAGTTTAGATAAATGATGGTACCGTATGTAGTTCCTGGTACTGTCTCTGGCTCCTAGAACTGTTTGCTGCAGTGTTTTTCACTTCATCAAACACTGACTGAGCTCAGACGACAGAACCGTGAAGGAAGTGAACCGTGGTAGAAACGTTTGAACACTTTCTGCTCCATGAACCTCAGCTTCAGAAACCTTTAATCCCCCAAAGGACCAGGAGGAAAACTGGTCCAGACCGAGGTTGAATTTGTCAAATTCACTTCACCTTGGTGCATTTTCCTGTCTAACTTAGAAGTTGTCATGGCAACCTGTTCTTCATCAGCTGGACAATCAAACAAGAGGAGGATGCAGTTTTACAGTCTAACACCAGGAGGAGCAGTCAGGCAACAGATGATGTGGTGACCACTCACTGGGATTTGTTTCTTCTTTTACAGAAAACTGTAGAATTAGGTCGGTCACCTCACATGAACCGGTGGCTGTTTAAATATTAAAAGGTTAACAATGTGAGGCCATCGTCTGTGGTGAATCAACCAGTCAGTGGCCTCGTTGTCAAAGGATCAGCTGCTGATTGGCTGGCTGCCGTTAGAACCGAGCCAGAACCAAGAACTCTTCAGCACCACAACACTGAAGTGCAGCAGAGTGTGTGTAAATCAGATCAACTTCAACTGCTACCAAACAACTGTGCTATATATTCAGAAACCGTGCCATCTAGTGGCAGGATGCGCTCACTGCATCTTTCTCTTCCATTTCTTCAGTTATTCTCTGAGGCTCAGATGGAGAATGAGACGAACTTGAATCAATCTGGTGTTTATTTGAAAGGCAATAAATAGTGAACAGTGTCTTTTGTACAAAAATATCAGGTGTTTTTATAAAGTATAAAAATATAGTGAATACAAACATTTTAAAAAACGTGTTTTTTTTCCCACTCTGTGCTCAGTGTAAATCAGTATCTGGTGTTTCTTCTGTGTGTTCCTGCAGGAAGAAGAAAAGAACATTAGAAATGTTTGACAAAGTGGGAATGATGCAGTCAGTGGTGGAAAAGTTCAACAGTTGGCACAAAATAAATAATAGAACCACGCCTTAGGCCACGCCCACCTTGTGACTGTGATTTCTTGTGTTTGAGCATGTGCAGTGATCTGGCCTCATTCTTGGAGACGTTGACATCAAGGTCAAAGTTCGGCATCGCTGCTTTCCAGGACTTCTCCGTTGAATGAGAACCTGTGAGACAAAGACGGACACACACGGTAGTTTCAGTGACTAAATATTGTGGGGCAATAAGAAAAACAATCAAACAGAAGCTCCATCAGAGCAGACACCAGGGGACGTCACTGGTCTGTCCACATGGACAACCACCAGACCAGTGACGTCACCAAGTGAAGACTCTTCACCCACCAGTGTGCCACCGGTGTGACAGATAAAACTGGTCCCCGTTCCTCCAGTGTTGCTGAAGTGACAGGGGCAGAGCGCAGTTTTCGTCCATTTCTCTGATCGTCTTGCCGTGTGGACAGAGACGTTGTCTGTCCCAGGCCGTAGTCTGATGCTGCTGCTGAGGCGGTTGTTGTCGTTGCCGGTGGGGGGCAGGTGCAGTTCCTCTCCTTCAGCTGTGGGTAAACCACTGCAGGAAACTTGTCAAGGTTCTTCTTGAAGGTCAGCGACCTCTTAAAGTCTGAGATCCTCCTGGGACCTTCAGACGACCTCCACTTTGGCACCCTGCGGCAGGAACCGGTCTCCGAGGACTCACCTTCTGTGTCCTGTCCATGAGGAGGAGCCCAGATGTCAGGGTTGGAGCCCTTTCTCATCACTTTTTTGCTGTGGGACTTACAGGCCTCACAGGTTGGTGCCAGGACGTCGTTCCACTGCTGGAGGGGAACGGCTTTTCTCTTCATGCCCCCACATTCTACCCCTGGACTCACTGAGGAGCAGAGCCTTTGTTTGGACAGACATCTGGAGCAGAGCCGCTCCCTCTTGGACTGGTAGGAGGTGAAGGCGCTCTCACTGAAGTTTCTTCTGAGGCAGCACTCGTGGTCGGAGAGGCTCCTCCGGTCCACCTTACCTCTGGGTTTGTACCTCTCCTTCGGCTTCCCTAGAGCTGGCTGTTCTTTAAACTCCAGGCCCAGTTTTCTTCTTCTGCTGGGCACGTCCAGACCACGGCTGCTCACAGGCTTGTTCTGCTTCTTTGGAGTTGGAGGCGTCTTGCTGCAGTAGTAGACCGCATCAAAGTCAGTGAGCCAGCTGGTGGATGGGAGGTAGGCGGGCAGCGACTCGAAGGAAGTGTCCTGGTGATCCAGAACGTCTTTAACTCCACCCGACTTAACGGGAGAATCTTCCATCAAATCAACTTCAGATGTTTGCATCGACGTCGTCATCTGAACCTTCTCTGACTCCTCCATCACTGGGAAGAGTTCTGCTTCAGATGCATCCACTGGACCCTCAAAGGGGGGCAACGTGTCCTTCACTACGTCCTCTGATCCTGGAGGAACCTCGGCCAGGGAGACCTCTTCTGTTGGAGTCTCCTTCACCATGAGGACATCTGTGGGAGGAGGTTCAATAACAGGAGCCAGACGTTCTCCTCTGGAGACAAAGCAGTCATTTCTAGTCAGTGACTCAGTGCTGGGCTTCAGAGGTTCCTCCGTGGACCAGACGGTGGACTCGATCTTCTGCAGCTCCTCCAAGTACTTGGGGTCAAAAGGTAAGCGGACAACTTTGGAGCGGAAATTCTCAGAGCTCCTACTTTGACCTTTCTCCCTCTTCTTCTCAACAGGTTCAGCGTCAGCTGCGACCTCAGGAGAAGGAGGGTTCATCGGGGTCCTGGACTCCTCTCCGCCGCTGTGGCCACCAACCAGAAGAATGTCCGGACAGACCTGATGCTTCTGCTCCATCTGCTCCGCAGCAGGACGTCGTTGGCCGCCCTGCAGCACCATGTCCTGTGAAAACCTGTGGGACACTTCAGCAGTCTCGTGGGAGTGCAGCAGCTGGAGTCCCACCGGTGTGGTGCAGCACTCGATCCTGACCTCCTCAGTCTGGATCACAAAGCCGCCATTGGAGCTGGGAACCGGGTCTTTGAGCTCCCCGGACGGACTGCAGTTCTGCACGGCCGCAGGCGTGGAGAGCAGCCGGCCGCTGGGGACCAGGGTGCTGTCGCTGTTACAGACGGAGATGCCGCTGGAGACCCCGGTGTCGTTGGAGCCCGGGGTGCTGGTTCTCTGGACCGAAGACAGAGGTTCTGTTTGAACCTGAGAGCTGGTCACTCTGGGCGGACTGCTGTGCTGGTATCTGAACCTGCGTGAGTGGTAGGCCATGGTCTGGTAGTACTGAGGGTTGAGGAGACGCCTGTAGTCCATCAGATGGAGATGGCTGTGAGGAACCACAAACCCAGGAGGCTCCATGTAGGGGTTTGGCTGATACTGGGGCATCATGGGCAGACTGTAACCTGGAACACAGCAAAAAAATTATTTTATGGTCTGTATCAAGCTTTTCTGCTTGATGTTTGAACAAAACAAAAAAAAAATTTAGGTTAACTTAAATATAAATTAAAGCAAAAAAATGTTTAGATTAACTTAAATATAAATTAAAGTTATTGTTTATCAACTTTTCAACTTTTACTTGTTTGGATTGACATTATCTTTTTCCAGAGTAACTTTAAGATTTCAACTATTCAACTCATTGTCCAGTTGTAACCAGTTTCAGCCAAAAACATTTGTCTTATAAACCTATAAACACCTGTTTGGTTGTATGTGATTACATAAATGTGCCCAGATGGGGGCGTCAGTGAGGGATCACCACAGTGACTACAGGTCAAGTCCTGGTTTAAATGTTACAATATTTCTCTAAAACCATTTGAACAGACGTGACTCTCACTCAACCTCACAGTCCGTTCTTTTACCTAAACCAGCGTAGCTGTAGTATGGGCTGTAGGACACAGGAATGGGCAGCGGTACGGGCCACTGGAGACTCTGGACAGGGACGTACGGCTGCGACGGCTGGATGTAGAAGAAAGGCTTGTGGTGCTGCTGCTCCTCGGAGCGTGGACCGCCTGGAGGTCCTGGAGGTCCTGGAGGTCCTGGAGCGGACTGCCGTGTGCCCGTCAGCTGAGCTCCATGTGGTGGGTTTGGACCACGATGATTCAGACCCAAAGGCTGTTGGAAAGCGGACGTACCTGCTTCCATGTCGGCCAAAGAGGCTGAGAAGCTAATTCAGAGACTGTTTGGAGTTCTGTTTCCAACAATAGTCAATAAACGTTTGCAAAGATCAATCAGGAACGAAGCAAACTTCTCTCTGGGAATGATTTCAGTTGAAAATCCAAGGTGGAGACTGTGGGGTTGGGCCTGCTCTGGTCAAATACTGAGGTGATTGGCTGGATTCTTGGTCCAGGTGAAGACCGTCCAATGAGATATCAGTGACCTCGGTTTGAAGCCAATCAGATCTGGGCTGGAGTCTGGACTCAGCTGACAGGACCTGCTGATTGATCAGAGATAGGAACAAAGATCACAGCCACAAAACCACTTCATGTGGACTGAAGCCTGTTGGAGACGTGAGGATGTGGTGCAGAGTGATGCATCATGGTCCGTACAGCATCTAACCCTGTGGTCACGTGGTCGCCTTGAGAACACAGTGATTAGAGCTGCAGAAACACCTGTTCATGTTAAACTTACTTATAATGTATTTAATATTTTTATAATAATCTTTCACATCGTGTCGTTATTTTATTCTATCTTGTTTTGTGGGTCTGTTATTTTAACTTTCTCTCACACCACGACACAAACGTTTCATTTCAATATGAGCATGTAGCTCTATTCTCTGGCCTGTAGGTGGTGCCGTACACACTTAAAACCATGATTTTTTTAAAATGGTTTTTATATAAACTTAGTCCATTTTTATATACATTTTTATATATAAAAAATTGTTTTTTTATATATAAATTTACTCCAGTAAAATGGAACAGAGTTTTCCACCAAGATTAAAGAACATTAGTGTGACGGCTGCTTCCTCTCTGGTTGTTAAAAACAAACACCACTGAAGCTCCCTCACAGACAGCCTGTTATTAGAGTCTTTGTAACTGGGTTGTTCGTGGTTTATTAGTAAAGTAAACATTTGAAGTTCTGTATTTTAATTGCTGTGTATATGCAGCTTTTCTTGCTTTTTTTTGCTATATTTTTGCCTCCAAGAAATTGATGGGGAAAAACACACACGTAGGTTAAATAATGACAATATTTTAATGGACTGACCCCAAATCAGTCAAACACCACCAACTGCATCAACCTTTGTGAAATCATTTCGTGTAAGGCAGTGATAATGAAACTTTATACATGGTTTTTTTTTTACTCGTTACATTTCATTCTAACAAAAAGAGTCTTCCTGTGCCGTGCTTTTCACCCAGTGATCTAAGTCTTTCCTCCTGGAATATTTACACCTTTGTGGGGATCTGAGGGGAAAACAAAAATGTTTTAGAAATCCATGGTTGTTCTGTTTGTCTTCATGTGAAGGATGTGAACTCAGGAGTTTCCATCTACAGTTCAAAGGTCCAGGGACGTTAACATCTGGGTTCTCTGATGGAGGAGCCTGGAGTGAAGAACAAACACAAACATTTATTTCTACTCTGACCTTAAAGAAAACCGTTCCCACCTCAGACCAGTCGGGTACCTCTGTCCCAGTGCAGCGGCGGAGGCTCATCCTCGTCATTGTCGTCTTCTCTCGGCCGGTGATACATCACCTTCCTCTGAGCGCTCATCTCTGTCAGACAGTATTGTCAGGAGATCGTCAGTGGAGGCCGATCCACGACAAGTGAATGAATCAACGATAGGAACAGAAAAAGACCTTGTCGTTTCACAGGAGTTGTTTGTCTCCTCCTGGGAAAAGCACTGACCTCCCCCCACCTGGTCTGGTCACCTGAGGTCAGCTCTTCTCTGCAGAGTCCATCTGTGAAAGATCATGACATGACAACACTCTGCAGCACACCAAGTATCAGAGCTTCTTCTAACCCAGGCACAGAAACCTGACCGATCTCAGCAGACAGAATAACATCCATGGATGAGGAGTGTGTTTGCGCCCCCTACCCTGGCATGTTCTACACTGCAGTTCACCGCTGGTCTCCTCTGCCACCTCTCCATCGTCTGGATTCTTCTTACAGAGCTCATGAGCGTCCTCCTGACCACACAGGTCTGAAGCCTCTCTGTACTGCCCTCTTTTGTACCAGGGTTTTCCTGGAGGTCTCAGCGGGGGTGGGGGATGCTTCCTGGGTGAGACGTGCTTCCTCACAACCACTCTCAGCGGCTGTTCGCGTCCCCGTCTGTACCTGCTCTCCTCCTCCGAGTCTCCGGCCTCATCTTTGTACGCCGCTGAGGTTTGGACTTTACTGCGGCCGCTGCCTTTGAGCAGGGTTTTTCCGCAGCAGGCACACGTCACCCCCCTCTTTGAACTTGGCAGCCAGACTTCTTCTGCTTCCTCCGTGGTTCGGGGGGATGCAGCGCTGGCCTCTGCCAGCCGCGGAGGGCGGCGCTGTCCGCTTGTGTAGACGGTCTTAGGGAAAAGATCCACATCATCCAGGTCTGTGGAGAACATCTCCTCCCTGGAGGAGAGCTCATCCAGGGACGGGCTGAGCACGCTCATACGTTCATGGGTTGTCTGCACGGAGAGGTAGTTATAAAAGTAGGGGGACGCAGAAGAGAGGGGGTCACCGCCTGACACTTTAGGCGTCAGGATGCTCTCGAAGGGCAGTCGGAGGATCCTGCAGCTGGGGTCAGGTGGTTCTTGGTCTGAAGAAACTCCCGGACAGTGCGTCTTTGAGGGGTCAGTGATTTTACCTTCCTTGGCCACCGGCTGGTCAGAGGAAAAGAAGGGAGTCAGGTGGAAGGGCTTCAGTTCTTCTGCTTGACATTTGGGAGCTTTCAGCTCAGGCGCTACAATGTCTGACTGGACATCAGCGACCTCTACTGCCCCGTATGAGATAAAAGCTTCATCACCTGCTGTTTGTGCCACCTGTACACGTTCTTCATGAACAGAGGAGCTATCCAGAGGCAACTCCTCCTCCAACGCTCCTGACCAGCAACCCTCAGGGCTCATGGTGTCCAGGCTCCTGTGACTGGACTCGTCGTACACTGCTGTCGTGGAGTCACTGAAGACCACAGCTGGACTGGCCAGATTACCAGGCAGTGATGGCAGGACGTGTCCCTGCTCGTCACCTTTTCTCTCTTCCACTGGGGAGAACATGCCTGACGAGTGCGAGGCCACCCCAGAGTCCAGCTCCCTCTCTGCGCCGTGTCTGAGCTCATTGGTTCGTATTTTGTCTAAGCACTCGATGAGTTTGCTAATGGCGTCGTTGGGGTCCGTCTGGGCCTCCGAGCAGGCCATTTCTCGACGCCCCTGAGGCTGCGGGTGATGCTGCTGGCCCCAGGTGGGAGGATGGAACCGGGGCTCGAACATTCTTCTGTAGTCGACCGGATACAGCGGAGCATGTGGGAACATGAAGCCAGGGTACTGCATGTACTGGTAGGGATGGATGTAGGGACGGCTGTAGTTGAAAGCTGATGACCAAAGAGCAGACATGACAAATCCTGATGTGCTGCTGATGAACCTTCATGTCTACAAGTTAGATAATCAACACTGACGTCATCGTCAAAGTCACATGACAAATCCTGATGTGTTAGTGCAGCTGCTGATGAACCTTCATGTCTACAGTGATTTTTTTTTCTTTCAATATTCTGGCAAATATCTGTGAAATGATCTAATTTAATATGTATCTATTGCTCAGTGTTTGCACTGGTGAAATTGACCAGGAAATGTCACATTTACACCTACAATTAAATCATATTGTTCATATATGTCATTTTGGGAATTTTCACAGTTAACTTTAGTACAAGAGACTGAGATATTGACAGAGAAATGACATGTAATCGTGTGTCTGCACAGCCTGGTCCTTCATAGAAGCACAGCAGTGTGTGAAGAGAGCGCTACCTCCAGGTAAACCGTAGTGACTGTAGGGGTTGTTGAGCTGCCAGTGCTGGTAGACGTAATAAGGCTGAGACGGTGGCTGGACGTAGAAGAACGGTCTGGAATGCTGACTTCTCTGTTGTCCTCCCCCGTATCCATGTGGTTGCTGGTTTGAGTCTGAAAGGAGCAGCAGGGGAAATGTCAATAAAACACCATTAGATAATCACAAACATTCAAATATTTTTTCTTTAATTAAACCTAAACGCGTACCATCCATGTGTAGGTTTGTGTTTAGTCGGAATAAAAAAAACTGAAAGTTAAGACAGGTTCAACAACAATAATAAACCTTCCTCAGCTCCTAGAAATAAAGGCTGGACTTTTTTTTAAATTAATCCTACACAGTGAAATTTCCTTTCAGACACGAAGAAGTCAGAACAACTTCTCTCACTCAGCCCCACATGACATCTGAATGAAGAAGGCACGGATTTCTCTTGTAATTAGAGCAACAGGAAACACCTGACCTCAGGAACGCTGCAGCAGATACATGTGCAACCATCAAATCATACCCAACAGAAACAGCAAAACAAAGATAAAGGATCTATGAAAAAGGTATAGATGAAAATACAGGCCTTTATTTAACTGACTAATGAAAATAATTAAAGTCTTAATTAAAACCTATTTTCAAAAACGGTACATATAGAAATCGTATGGCCATTTTATCAAGATCAACTTCTGTCTTCATTTCTGGAATAATTTATTGCTCCCTTTCTATTAATATTATTTTTCTTTCTATATTATAGTTTATTTTGTTGTTATTTGTTTGGAGTCTATGTTACATGTACACGTACATATCCAAAAAAATAAATGATAATGGTATAATGATAATGTAATGGGCCTTCGGGGGCCTAAATGTTCAATCAGCGGTGCCGTGTGTCGATCTGCCCAGCAGAGGTCGCTGCAGCGCCTCATGGTGTCTACGCTTGCGCAGTTTCTTAATTTGGCCTCTGGTCTTTTTCAAGCGTTGATGATGAAGATGATGATGCGCTGAAAAGCTTCGTCTGCTGTTCGCCGCTTCATTTTCTTCCACTCTCATCATTTAACGTGTAAACCCCTTCAACCCCCCCGACCCGCTTCCTCGGCGCTTTCCGCTAAATGGCTTCGGCGGGGAAACAGTGACGGACATTCGCTGAGAAAGTTGTCCAGGGAGGAGTGAGAATTCTGGGCTGCTGGAGTTTTCAGGTAGCCGTTATAGCTTTCCTTTAGTTAGCCCCGTTAAGCTTAGGTTAGCATGGGAAGCTGCGTTCGCTAACACCAACGCGGCAATCAGTTTTATCCTGTTCGAACGCTCTACGCACTTCAAACGCAATTTTCTAAAACAGCTCCAGCGTTTTTGTTACGGTGAAGAGGCAGAACTACACTGTAGCTGCAGCTGCTTTCTCCCCGAACTGTGAAGCTAAAGCTAAACCGCTGCTGCTAAACTGCGTTAGCATTGGAACGGCATCGTAGCTGAAATGTATGATTGAGCTGTCAGAGTACATCGCGTTAACATTAATTGGAAAAATAAATAAAGTACGATAATGTAATATGCTGTTTATTTACGTTAGGCGGATGAATTGTGATTTTTTTTTTCTTTACGGTTGGGACAGGGTTTGTTTTGGACATAGCAGCTAACGGTGTCAAGCTAAGATTAGATAAGCAGAAAAACGCTTTAACAGTCCTTGTATATCATTCATCATCCACCACATAATTCATCTATCAAAAATAATTTAAAAAAATAATAATTTAACTCGATACTGACGTCCGTTTGTATAAAGTGGAACGACCACCCTACCTGGTTTATTAGCATTAGCTCTAGGGTTAACCTTTAGTCTGTACATAATGTTTCCAAAACACATCCATTGCGATTCGTTGACGATACAACACACGAGTACGTTTGTTTGAAACGTTCTATGAATCGATTTGCATGACTTGTTTATTTGCGTTTTTCCAGAGAGGCTAATGTTAGCAGAATTCGTCATGGTGACTAATGCTAATCTCAGACATGAGTCTGGGTGTGTTAACAGCACGTTTGATTCATCGCGGCGTGGTGATGCTTGTTTGGTGCATGGACGAGTTTGGGGGAAAAACGTGTTTTATTTTAACAGTGGAGTTTGATGCTACGTTTGGCTTCAGTAGTGATTTAAAGAAAAAAAAGATGTTCTTTATTTTGCTGCAGTCTTCCATGCTTTACTGCAGTGCTTTATTAAACCCGTTAATTGCTTCACATATGGAAGCCAAATGCAAACATAATAAATACACCTGATTTCAAAAAATGTTTGTTGTTTTTTTTTTTATTTAAAAAAAAGTGTATAGATCAAATCGATTTTTGATCTGTGATACTTCACTGTATTTACTGTCATAATGTCATTGTTACCTGTCAAAAAGTAAAGCCACCATTTTGGAGGGACTGAACATTAGAACTCAGTTTTAATTTTAATCCCTATGTTGGTGTCACCCACTTATATCTAAAAGTAACACTTCTGGTTTTAAGGTAGTATTTTATTTACTTTTTAATCCGATGATAATTTACCCTTAGACACGGCTCTGGATGTTGCAGAGAGTAATGGACGTGTGTCGATTTAGCTGCTAATCCAATCTTCACTGATGTTTTTCAGATGGTTACAGATGTGGGTGTCGTCCTCTACCTCTGGTCTCGGGTGCCTTGCTGCATGACCTCAAAACAACAGAATCATCTACGACCTCGAAGCGTTGTCATTTGGTCCTCCACCTCATCAGGAGTAGGAGCCTCAGAGTTTTTCCCCCCAGTGGTAGAACACCTCCACTCCAGCCGGTGGAGGTGTTGAGGAGCTCCACGCCCCGCCTCTCTGTTTGCTCTTCTTTTTTTTCAGGAATATATTTAGTCTTTTTCCTGGTGGGCTTTTGTCCGGTTCTACCGGCTGTGGGACTTTTCAAAACTGGGGCGCAATTCATGGGACACAACCATGTCAGATCTCGGTGAGCGCAGGTCGGTCAACGCGGACTACGCTGTCTCCCTGCTGGAGCAGCTGAAGTTCTTTTATGAACAGAAGTTACTGACTGATGTGGTGCTGTTGGTGGAGGACACGGAGTTCCCCTGTCACAAGATGGTCCTGGCCACATGTAGCTCCTATTTCAGGTGAGTGAACGGGCATCAGGATCAGCAGCCTCCTGTTGTGTCCTGGAGATTCCACTTCTTAATGACCTGGAGCTGATGGAGGACATGTTGATTTGTCTCCTACAGTTTCAATAAATTATGCACCGCACCGTTTTCTGTGCATAAAGACATCAATTACTCGCCCAGTGTGTGAGCTGGTGGGGGCGCCGTAATGAGGTGTAGGTTTGTTGTCATTGTGTAGCGCAGTTACAATAAATAATGCACAGTAACATAGAGGATGTGTTACCTGAACCACACACAGTGGATAGAAAACATACAGACGGTGTTTAATCAGAGGAAACACTTTTCATCACACACTGAACAGTAGGGATGTAACGACAACTCACAGTACAATCTGGTTCATGATTTTTTTTTTGTCATGATTCACTCAAGAGTTCCAGACAGGAGCAGATAGATGGAGCGCTTGTGTGAACCAAGATAAATGACATGTAGAAGTCATAAAGGCTGAAATGCTTTTAAAATGTCCACGCCATCTATTGGGGAAACGATGTGTGTTGACACCAGACTAGCACAGACAGCTCCCTCGGGCCCCTGGGGGCCTCATCTCTACGCACAACGTTGCGTAACGTACGTCCAAGTGTGTGACACAGCAGCAACTGCAGCACGAGCCTCGGCTGTGGGAAGAGTCCGTCTGTACCTGACGGAGGCTGACCCAGCAGTCGGACCCAGCAGTCGGACGTACCGTCGACCTCACTGTGTCCGTCCGTGCACAGACGCTCCAAGAAGAGTTTGGTGGAACTTCTTGGCGTCCTGGCAGCCACATCGTCCCTGCTGTTTCCCAGGCACTCGTTATCTGGTGCGAACATGCAAAGCATTTCCCCTCCAGGGTTCAGAGGTGTTGCAGTGCTTCCTCTCAACTACTGCTTCCCTCCTTTTTTCTTTTTTTTTTTCTTTTTTTTTTCTTTACCCCGTCTTTCATCCAAATAAGACTCACACTCTTTGAGTCAGAAAAGAAGGCGAAGGTGTGTGTTTGGGGGGAGCCTGTTTGTCTGGGAACGTCTGGTTGCATAGGGCGTTTGGGGGGGGGCAGGGCTGGGGATGCGACTGCAGGATTGCGTAATGCAACTGGTCAGGTTTAGTCACTGCTGTGATTGACACATGCCCCCCCCCTTCATCCAAATAAGACAGAGCTGGAATGAAGATACGATATAAGAAAATGCTGCAGCTGTTTTATCAGTTTAATTTTACCTCCTTTTATTCATTTGTCTTTGCTGCATTCAAGTTTGCCGCAGTTTTTTCAGTGACTCTGCCCACACCTTTCTTAAAGAACCCTGTTACCCATACCCACGGACAGAGGCAAAAGTCTTAGGCAGGGGCATAGATTTAGATTTATTTTATACAGAATCAGCGTTTCCTCAGGATATTTCGTTTCACTTGTGTTGTGTTGACCGTTGTCCTTCCCCTCTCCTCCTCTAGGGCCATGTTCATGAGCGGCCTTAGTGAAAGCAAACAGACGCATGTCCACCTGAGGAACGTGGACGCAGCCACCCTGCAGATCATCATCACCTACGCCTACACAGGCAACCTGGCCATCAGTGACAGCACGGTGGAGCCGCTGTACGAGACCGCCTGCTTTTTACAGGTCTGTGTGGAGCCGTCATGGCTGTTTCTTTGAAAGAACAGTCAGATTTAAAACGTGAAAATTCCCTCTTTGCCTCTTTCTCTCTCTCTCTCTCGGCCTCACTCCCTCATTCAGGTGGAGAACGTCTTGCTGCAATGCAGAGACTATCTGGTCAAAAAGATAAATGCAGAGAATTGTGTTCGCATGCTGAGCATCGGTGACCTGTTCAGCTGCAGCGAGCTGAAGCAGAGCGCCAAACGCATGGTGGAGCACAAGTTCCCCGTGGTGTACCGACAGGAGGCCTTCCTGCAGCTCTCGCACGAGCTGCTGGTCGACGTCCTGAGCAGTGACAACCTGAACGTGGAGAAGGAGGAGACGGTGCGGGAGGCGGCCATGTTGTGGCTGGAGTACAACATGGAGGCCAGGTCGCAGCACCTTTCCTCAGTACTGAGTCAGATCCGCATCGACGCGCTGTCAGAGGTGACGCAGCGCGCCTGGTTCCAGGGGCTGCCGCCAAACGACAAGTCGGTGGTGGTGCAGGGCCTCTACAAGTCCATGCCCAAGTTCTTCAAGCCCCGCTTGGGCATGACCAAAGAGGAGATGCTGATTTTCATGGAGGCCATGTCGGAAACGCAGGGGGAAGGCTACGTGATGTGCGAGTCCTTATCGACAACGGTGGTATGTTACAGTCCGCAGGCGGAGAAAGTGTACAAGCTCTGCAATCCACCTGGGGACCTGCAGAAGGTGGGGACGTTAGTGACCCCCGATAACGACGTGTTCATCGCCGGTGGACAAACCCCCCTAAAAAACTCTATCAGCAACCACGGAAAGAGCAACAAGTTCCAGGCGGTGTTCCGCTCCGTCGACAGCTTCTTCTGGTTTGACGCTCAGCAGAACACTTGGGTTCCCAAAACCCCCATGCTGTGTGCCCGAATCAAGCCCTCGCTGGTCTACTGCGAGGGCTACATCTATGCAATTGGGGGCGACAATGTGGGAGGCGAGCTGAACAAGCGCACGGTGGAGCGCTACGACTGCGAGAAGGACGAGTGGAGCATGATGAGCCCGCTGCCTTTTGCCTGGAACTGGAGCACCTCGGTGGTGGCGCACGACTGCATCTACGTGATGACCCAAGACCTGATGTACTGCTACTTCCCCCGCGCCGACACCTGGGTGGAGATGGCCATGCGCAAAACCAGTCGATGTTTCGCCTCGGCCGCTGCTTTCGGTGACCTGATTTTCTACATCGGTGGTTTACACGTGGTTAGCAACTCAGGCCTGCGGCTGCCCACGAGCACCATCGACGGCTCCTCTGTCACAGTGGAGATCTATGACGTCACCAAGAATGAATGGCGCTTGGCCGCTAACATCCCTGCCAAGCGCTACTCTGACCCGTGCGTGCGGGCAGTGGTGCTCCTCAACTCTTTGTGCATATTTATGCGAGAAACGCACATGAACGAGCGCGCCAAGTACGCCATCTATCAGTACAACGAGGAACTGGATCGATGGTACCTGCGGCAGCCTGTGTCTGAGCGGGTGCTCTGGGACTTGGGTAAGGACTTCCGCTGTGCAGTTGGGAAGCTGTACCCCTCGTGTCTGGAGGAATCTCCCTGGAAACCCCCCACCTACCTCTTCTCACCTGACGGGGCTGAGGAGTTCGAGGTGGACGGGGAGCTGGTGACCCTCCCTCATGTATAGCTCTGACGCTCCCCTCCAGCTCCTGTAAATCTGAGTGATGGACACGGAGGAGGGGAACGCTGAGTGTTTGATGTTGTTGGTGTGGCAGCGGGGTCTCTGGACGAGTGGGCAAGCCCGTGGTCAGCACGCTCAGAGAGGACACTCTAAAAGGACAGGAGTGGGCAAGCCCGTGAGCCCGTCAAGCCCGTGCTCAGAGAGGACACTCTAAAAGGACAGTTCAGGTGCAGACCAGTTTGGTTTGGCCCAGTGTTTGACCGTGTTTAGTGTCGAAGCTAAGCCGTTTACAGAATGAATCTGAGTACATTTGTACTTCATAACGAAATTCAATACATCTGGAACTGTATTTGAAGTAGTTCAAAAATACGTTCTGTAACTCTGTGGCCAGAATCAGGACTTCAGTATTGGTGCTTTTGGGTGAAGCTGTTACTTTGCTCCACCAGCTCCTACAACCAACCTTCAGAAACCCTGAACTGTCCCTTTAAAGGAAACCAGTTTTTGTTTTTTCATTTCTTTGTCATCTGTGACATCAGTTCTTTCTACAATGTGATAATCTCAACCTCAGCTTATCGTCACGATGATGTTGATGCACTTATCTGAGAATCTTTCTCTGAACGACAGCGGTGAGTCCATAAACCCCCCCCCCCCGAGGCCCCCCCCTCGGTGGCCCCCCCATGGCCCCTCTCCCTCTCCTCATCTGTCCTTTCTTCTCTCCAGCTGATAGAGAAGTTCTGAGAGGTTCTAGTTTGTGTTGAAGACGTACGCAGACGTGAGAATGTTCCTCCTCAAACGTGTTTTATAATCATGGACATTTATCATTTGAGATTATTTTTTTAAGATTTAGGAGCAGAAGCTAACAGTGCAGCTAACACTCTGTTCCCACGGTGTTTGTGGGTGACAGTAAGATCAGTGTTGTTCCGTCACTGTGAGTCGTCGTCGCTCTGATGACTCAGTTTCTTGTGCTGCTGGTTCTGGATTGGATCTTTGATCCGTCGGTGTCTGACGTTCCGACCTGTTTCTCTGGCTGTTCCAGATGATGAACAGCCAGAGCATGTGGCGTCGGCATCTCCTCCTCCCACTGGAGAGTTGACCACGAACCTCTCAGAGCCTTCTTTACAGTCCACACAGGTGTTCCTCAAAGTCAGGAAGGTTCCTCAAACGTCTGGGTTTCTGATGGAGTATTGACTTCACAGGGACAACATCCTGACTCTGAGGAAACCTAAATGTTACTGGTCCCTCCTCCATATCAGAGCTCTACAGGCTTCCTGCTGTGGTTTTCCTGGGCAGAGTGGTGGGGGTGGTGGTTGGGGGGGGGGCGACTGCAGGTCCAGTTCGCCTGTGAGCATTCCTTCCTGACTCTGCCTCCACAGCCCTGTTCTGTCACACGGGTTATCCACACAGCCATCAGTTACACCACCTCACTCTGTGTCACATGATCGTGTTTGTTTGTCAAGGTCAGCGTTGGTTCTCTGTGGCAGCCGTAGAGCGTTGATAGGAAATGGACCTTGGGTTATCTGGTACCTTAGAAATAGCATTTAGTCATATACTGAAATGGTTTGACCTTTTGGTTTGTGTGGGGGGGAGTTCACATTTATTGATGAGCCGTGAACCAAATCTTTGGTCTCCAACATCATGGTTTTAGTTTTTAGGTCCAACACACACACACACACACACACTCATGTGGTCTCTGTTCAGTCCTGGTCCTGAACCAGTCCTGATGGTTCTGGTCCTAGTGGACATCCTTTTGGTTTTGTTTTTTTTTTCTAACTAATCACAGACACGGCAACATTTCAAGTTGATTTAAGGAGTTGTTGGATTGTCCTCAGGATGCATCGTAGACTTGTCTCCTCAGCTGACCTCTGACCTTTCAGCTGACCTGCTGACACAGAACCTTCCTCCAACCCCACACTAATGTTCTCCCAGAGGAGCCCCCCCCACCCCCCTCCGTCTCTGTCCCATCACGTCCTGAACCTTCTTTATAAGAAGTTGTTGTTAAAGTCCGATCAGTGAAGACCAGGTTCCGTGGCTCGTCCTCTCAGAACAGACTCAGTCGACTCCTCAATGTCAGGCTCATGCATTTTGTTGTTTTTCCCTTTTTTTGTATTTATATTATATTATTCCCAAGCTGCTGAATTTTATATATGTATATGTGTGTATATATGTACACATATATACTGTATGTGTACATATATATACAGTATGTACATGTATATATATGTACATATATACATATGTGTGTGTGTATATATATGTATATAAAATCTCTATTTTTCATATGTTTCAAAGGACATGTTTTGAGTGTGGGGGGGGTGGGGGGGGGGGGGTAACCAGGTCTGTTTTATATTAGTGTTCTGTTTTTCTTAATTTAATATCAGACATTACTGTAGTGTGATTGTGGGTAGTTTTGTTTCTCTTTACGTTTCTGGTCATTGTTTTTTTTATATATATATATATTCTTGCTGCTGATTGGTTCTGAGAGAAGAGGGCTTGCCCCCCCCCAGGGGGGGGCTGTTGCTACAAAAATGTCCCAGCAACAACTAGCAGAAGTGGAGGGTTGGGGGTGAAGTTGTGGTGGGGAGGGTGAAGGAGTGTCCTTCTGACCTTTGACCTTAAAAACATGAGCACAGGTGCTTCATGACGAACTCTTAACTAGCATGTCTGGCTGCATCATATTCCTTTGGCACTGTATTTTTAATGAACGTTAATTTATTAAAAAAATGTTTCAAACGTTCCTGAACCCGACTCCCAGGTATCTTTGGTTTTTATTGTGAGCGAATACTTTAAAAACATGTAAGAGGAAAGGACGATGGAGACATTTGAAAAACATACCTGTATATGAACTTAAAATTAAAAAGAAAAAAAAATCATATTGTTTTCAAAATAAAAGCACACAAACAGCAGTAAAAATGAAACTGATCACGTTGAATGTCGTTGCTCTGAATTTAACCACGAGCAGAAGTAGAAGAAGAAAAAGCAGAAGTAGTAGAAGAAAAACACGGGGGAAAAAAAACACATGTGAATAAGGTGTTAGACACGGGGGAAAAAAACACATGTGAATAAGGTGTTAGTGCTAATACTACAGATAGGGGGCAGTAGCGGTGGATGTGTTGGGGTCATTATGTTGCCGAATAGTCCACATCCGCCCATAGAAGAAACAGAAAAGAAGAACTGCTGAAGTGTTTAAAACCGGAAGAAGAACTCTCCGTCCACACGGAGCTTCAGTGTCTCCGGTTCTGTCCCTGTTTGGACCTCAGGTTGAGCAGGGACATTAGCGCCACCTCCCCCACCGTCGCCATTTTTGTTGTTGTCTGAGAAACTGACGTCAACCCGGAAATGAATGGTGTTGTTCGCCAACCACGTCAAACGTCGGCACGCGTGTGAGTGTGTGGGCAGTGACGTGAACACGGACGAACTTTGTCAACGATCCTGGGTGGAAAGAGTAGCTTCAGATGAGGACGGACTTGTTTGTGTAGTTTTTGTTTCTATCCCAGATAGTGGGCATTAGTGATTGTACAGTTGAAACGATGAGGTCACTTTTAGCGTAATGGCATAAACCGGCCAGAGGGGGCAGCAGTGGACCTGCAGCTCCTGTGTTTGATCTGAAAACATTTTCTTGAGGATCATTGGTGTCTGTACTAAATGATGGAGAATGATGGGGTTTTTTAATAGTTTATCTGGAGAACTTTCTTTCATTCTCTATTTTGTTGACATCAGTTTGACGACTGGTGGGCGGGGCTTCTGAGTGAAGCCAGCGGTGCAGCTGTGAACAGCAGAACCTCCAGCTCTGACTCCCTCCTGAAAACAGACTCCTTTAGGTCAGGGGTTCTGGGTTTGTGTCAGTAATAATATAAATAATAAATATATCTAAAAAATATATAAATAAAGAAAAAAAAACAAGTACTGCAGTATTGAAAGTAAAAGGTCCTCAGAGCTGGTGCTTCTTCAATAGTTGTTTTATTTACAGCAATAAATCGTGTTCTCTTCAAATAGGTTAAAGAATCTGTCAAGAAAAAAATGTGTTCCATATCTTTTACGTCACAATACATAAAAATCTTCTCAGTACAAAGATGAAAATAATTTTATCAGACAGTAAAAACCAAAATTAGATTAAAAAGAAAACAAAAGAAAATCAGACATGAACTGATGGAAAGACAAAAAACACGATTATTAATGAATAAAAAAAAACCCTAAAAACTGGGACATGACCCAGACGAGGACAAATAAATGGCAGTGTAGACCACAACGTGGACAGGTCTCGCCCACAGACACAGTGACCCACATCTGTGTATCCATGATGTGGACCAAACGTCAGACACCAGTGGGTCAGAACCTGTTTGACTGACATGTGGCCCACATTTTGAATACCAGTGTAGGCCAGATCTTTGTATGTGGACCAGACAAAAAGAATGTGAATATGTTGTCTACACAAAATAAACTGACACAAGTGACACACACACACACACATAAATGTGGTCCAGGGTTTAGGACGTTTCCCTCCAGTGTTTTCATAGTCATTCAAATATGATGAATAAATACATCCATCTCCTGCATTCACACAGACACAGACACAGACAGACACAGACAGCAGCTAAAGTAAAAGTCAAGGTTTCAGCAGACAGTAGTGACACCTGCTGGAGGTGGAGGTGAAGTCAGAGAGGAGAGAAGGTGGAGATGATGAAGATGGAGCATGAACATGAAAGAGGAGAAGAAGGAGAGACCAGAGAAGACTGATGGATGTAGTGGAGGAGGACATGGATGATCAGCTGTAGGAAGGGACCGATCAGAAGATCATGTGACTGTGACATCACTACAGAACATGGATTGATTCAAGTTTTATGAGAAAGAATCAAATGCACAGGTTGAGAGAGTTTATATATAAATCCTCTTCCTCTCCAACAAAAACACAGTTTCTTTACGTCAGCTCAACCACGGACAGTAGAATCGAACCCCTGACATGTGCAGCACAGAGAGAGAAAAAACAAAACAAAAACACAGAGCGTCCACTTCAGCGCCCCCACCAGCTCAGGACCCTGGAGTCTGCACACTGGTCCTGCTGCGACCCCGGGAACAGCCATCGTAACCATCCAGAAAAACAACCGCGCTCTGGGTCAAAAGTTCACCTGTGTCGTCAAAAACAAGCTCCTCCCACTTCAAAGTCTCTGTAGGATATTTGGGGGAGTGGTTTCTGACGACTCATCACGGTTTGACCTCAGTCACCGGTTCAACAGATGTGGGAGGAGTCACCGCGGATGGCTGGGCCAGAGTGGAGAACCAGGTCGACATGGCCGACTTGGCGCTGGTCAAGGCCCCGCCCACTGACTGACCTGAGGGCGGAGATCACAGAGAGGTTGGCATTAGTTGACAAATTTCTTTAGATTTTTAGGAATTTCTAATCTTTAGGTTCATTTTTATTTTCAGTTCCTGGACGAAGCTGCAGTGACTGGAGCCTAAATACTGGAATGTTCTGTTCCTGGTTCCGGTGAGTTCTTACCGACTGCCTTCCCCGTCTGGACCACGCTCCGACTGGTGGTGATCATAGCGTTTCCTAATTTCTTCCCTCGCTCACTGTTCTGCACCGAGCTGCAGGAAACAGACAACATTTAAGAACTCTGTCTGCTGACGTCATGTCAGGGGCTGACCAGCAGAGGGCAGCAGCAAAACACGTGACGTCTTGCGTCTTGAGACTACAATACAGTGGGGCTTCAAGATACGAGTCCAATTAATTCTATTCTAGGTAAAATAACCAGAGAGGGAGACAGCGCCACACAGTGGTTGTATGTTGAAGCCCCACCGTCTGATCTGATACAACTGGATGTTATTGAAGAGCAGGTTTTTATTGATTTAGTGAAGGAGGAAGACGACGTCACTCACTGTGACAGACGCAGTTTGACGTCAGCGACGCTGTACTGTCCCTGGAACGGGTGTCTGCAGCGAAACAGTAAAAAATAAAAACCCAGTTTGACCGTTAGGGGTCACTGTTGTCAGATTTCTGTTGGTTCGGAGCTCGTACCCTGGTGTGATGGCCGTCATGGCTGGGTGTTTGTTGCTGTGCCAAACCCGAAAGTTGTGGGTGATTTTCCACGCAGAGACGAAGGGGGCGCCGTAATCAGTCAGCAGTCTCTCGCTATCTGAACAGGAAGAAGAAGAAGAGCCAGGTGGTTTCACAAGTCGAGGAAAAACGTGACTTTAGGGCGAAAGAGAGAGAGAGAGAGAGACCTTCGTGGAAGAGGGAGGACAGCAGCGAGTGCAGGTACAGCGTGAACTGAGCTCTGATCCACTCGTCTCCGCCCTCCCAGCCCGTCCCGTCCAGAAAGACGTCGTCTCTGTTCTCCGTCACATGTTTGACCAGATAGTCGGCGAACCGCAGGTCAGCCGTGGTCAGACTCAGGACCTTCCTCAGCTCAGGGTCCTGGATCAGGATCCGAGCTTCGTCCACCTACGACAGAGACGGACCACATTTAGTCAGAGGAACCGACGTTTGAGAACCTGTCCAGCTGACACTTCCAGGCTCTTCAAAACCCTGACCTCAACGACGGCGTCGCTCAGGTGCCTCTGCTGGTGGAACAGAATGTTGGTCGCTCCGGCCACGAAGCCGCGCACTGCCACGTCAGACAGCAGGTGGTGCTGTTGCAATGCCATGTAGGGGAGACACAGGTAGCCCTGTAAAAAAAAAAGAGACACAAGGGGTGAGGACGTGAAGGTGGGAGACGTGGACCAGAGGGGACACGTCCCTACAAACATCGTCCTGAACCTTGGTGAAGACGGCGAGCGGCAGACCGTACTGGTCCTCCTCCAGACCTGACACCAGCCCTGGGACCACGTTGCCCTGACCGCTGAGTGCCTGCGGCTGCACGGTGATGGGCGTGGACGGAGTGGGTATGAAGGCGGAGTCTGACTGCTCATGAAGCTCCGCCTCTTTAGGAGCGGCCTCTTCTAAAGAACTGGGGTCCAGCGTCTCCCAGTCGCTCTCTGACGACTCTGGTGACGTCCGGGACGGAGGTTTGAGGAGGCTGCTGTTCTCAGAGGGTGGAGCCTCACCGGTGGGCGGGGCCTCAAACAACCCCTCCCCCTCCGGCACGGGGGTGTCAAAGTCTGTGACCGACACAGAGACAAACTCCTCTGCTCCACAGGTGCTGTCCACCAGGACCAGTTCCTCAGAGACGCTGCTCCTGGTTCTGTAGTGGGACGAGTCCACGAGTCCATGTTCCATCATCCCTGCACAGAACCACAGAACAGGATCCAGTTCAGAACCCAGCGAGAACAGAACCATGAAGTGGGAGTGTTTGTTCAGCACTGACCTGGGAACAGTGAGAGGACGGTCATCAGAGCTCCAACCAGTCTGTTGACAGGAGACACGTAGAACAGAACCTGCAGAGGGACGGACAGTTAGGAGGACAGAGACAGACAGGTGGACAGGTGGACAGCTGTCTGTTTTTGGTCTTACTCTCTTTTCCAGCAGGATCAGTTTGAAGAGAATCAGAACCTTCAGAGAGAAAAAAACAAAACAAACAAGTTTCTTTAAATGACTGCGTCCGTCGAGTCTGATCAAAGTATTGATCGGTGATCGTTCCTGTCCGTGTGTCTGACCTTGTGTCTGAAGTTCAGGATCAAGTCTCTGGGAGACAGACCTGAAACGAAACAAAGGTCACTAAGGTCAACTAGGTCACTGATGGGGCAGGTCACATGATGAACAACAATTATTATTATTATATCATTTATGCCATCGCGGTGCCTTGATTTTATTTAGTTCACTGTCATAGCCATAAATACAAAGGTGAATAATTTAATAATATAATAATTTTTCTGTTTCCAGTTCCGACCGAGAGTTTTAATTTCGGTGCATCTCTATTTATTACCCAGATAAACCTGCGATCCCTCCAGAACCGATCCTTTCAGAGAACCGTTCATGTGGTCATAGAGTTCCTGCAAAAGAAACAGGACAAACAAACATTTAAAAGATTATTTCAATATTAAACAAATATGATCATTTTCTGCAACAATTCAGTGAATACAAACAAATAAAAAGTAGTGAATTTAAAAGAAATTTAGGGGAAATTAAAAAAAAAAGTAAATAATAAAAATGCACTGGATCATATTTTAAACTATCAAAATAAAAGTTAATGTATTTAAAAAATAGTCACTAAATCAATGTTTCCTGGTGGTTAGAGCTTCTATTCAGACTGGATCAGTGAGGTCAGAGGTCACGGTCACCTTCAGGATGGAGATCTGAGAAAAGTCCTTCTCCTCAAAGTAGGCGTGAGTGATGAGCTGCAGCTTGGCTTGGACGAGGCCGTAGAGAGGCTGAGAAGACACGGAGCAGAGGCGTCAAACCTCAGTGACACAGACTGACCACTGGGGGCAGCAGTGGGCCAACAGCTCCTGTGTCTACATGAGCTAAAATCAGTGATTTTTTTCACGGGGTGCAGAGTTCACCCTCTGATGTCACATGACCCTTTGACCCCGATGGACTCACCACTCGACTCAGGACGCAGACACTTTTCTGGACCGTCTCCCTGGTGACATCAGCCTGTCTCACCTTCAGGGCCTGCTGGGACATCACCACACTTAGGCTGCGTTCACACTTATCTGTGTGTGTGTGTGTGTGTGTTTGGGGGGGGGGGCAGACTGACCTTTGCCACTATCTGACGATAACAGGACACTCCATAAACACACTTGGTGTCTCCACTGCGGGGGGGCAGGTGAAAAAACACTGTGTCTGAGGAAAAACAAAAGAAAAACAAAATGATTTCAATCTGAACAACAGCGCCCTCTGTTTTCATCACTGAATTCTTCTCATTTGTATCATTTTTGGTTCGAAGTTTTATATAATTAAGAGTATAATTAATGATTATTGATTCGCTTTTATATAATTAAATAAAGAGTATAATTAATGATTATTGATTCGTCAAACTTTAGCCCGGAGGCCGAGCTACAACAACACGACTGAAGGACGGTGGCCGCGATCCAAAACTGCAGACAAACTGGATCCACTGGAGTCCTGAGGCTGAAATCCACTCGGCTCGTGGATTTCCACTTCTCTTTCAGAGAAAACTTCCTGGTACTACTTCCTGGTACTACTACTTCCTGGTACTACTTCCTGGTACTACTTCCTGGTACTACTACTTCCTGGTACTATTTCCTGGTACTACTTCCTACCTTCTTGGTAGTTGTGCGCTCCATCAGGCAGAGCCAGGAACGGCAGATACTTCCACTCCTCAGGCAGCAGGTTACTGTCGTGACCCTCGTCGGGCATCAGTGGGGGGTACGAAAACTCCACCTGTGAGAAGGTGGAGGAGGTGGGGTTAGCATCTGCATCTGGTCAAGATGAGACTTAATGTCCACGAAAAAACCTGGAGGATCTGCAGAGAGGAAACATTTTCTACATAAACTGGTTTATCCAGAACAGATGACATCACTTCCTGTTCTGTCAGAACACCTGGAGCCACGGACTCCTGATCAAGTGAAGAACGTCAGGATCAACAACGGCTCTAATCACAACACATTGGGTTGTTTTTTTAAGAATGGATGATGAAGTGAGTGGAGGCTGTGGCTGCGTCTGGTCCTACAAGACTAACCTGAAACTGTACACCACACACACACACAGACACACACACACACACACACACAGACAGACACACACGCCCAGCTGCAGCAGTGTTTCCCCACACGCTCCCTGAGGCTGAGCCCACGCCGCTCCACCACAGAGGAAGAACGATCAGCAGATCACGGCTGACAGCTGCTGGACAGGTGGAGACCAGAGTCCACGATCACCTGACACCCAGCAGGAGGTGAAGCACCCTCCTCACCTGAACCTGACACCAGCCCAAATCAGCAGCTGAAATCAAAAACCTCGTATTTCCAACAGCCGAACGTCTGTCACTGACGGTGGTGGAAACTTGAAATACGTTAAAAATACAAACAGCATCAGAAGAAGAAGAAATGTAATGTAGTTTTGACAACATCAACTCCAGCTTCATCTTCATCTTCATCATCAGCCGCGGTCAAAGCCGTTACTAGACTCACAGTTTGGACGCCGGCTCAGCTCAGTGCTGTTGTGTTCTGCTGCAGCTGCCAGACAAGAATGAACTTTAATGAGGAGACAATATTGAACTATATGCAAATGAACTGAAGCCGACTGAGATGAATGAGTCACAGCAGGAAGTCACAACGATGTCACTGAAACACTGGACGCTCCAGGCCGTACAGGCAGCGTGTGTGTTCTCCTGCAGCTCAGAAATCAGACTTTGGGTCAGTGTCAGTGAGTCAGTGTTCTCCTGCAGCTCAGAAAACAGACTTTGGGTCAGTGTCAGTGAGTCAGAGCTCTGCAGCTAATGTAGCCAATGGGAGCAGAGCAGCAGCAGCAGCACTCTTCCACTTGAAGCTTCTACCTTTTCTACTAACACAAACCTTCAGTTCGACCCAATCTGACCTTCTTCAAGTCCAATCCAATGTGTTCCGTTTGTGACAGAGGGGATTTGAACTACACCCCCTGGCTGCTGTGGTTTTAATTACACTCTGGACGTCACAGAAGTGTCTCCAGTCAAACACAGGACGGTGATGTTGTCCAACACTGAGGAGACAACACTGGGACATGTGAAGTTCTTCCTATCTCGGTAGGCCAGCTTATGCAGCACAAAAGATGAACATGAGAATTAGTTTCTCCGGCCTGTGTGGCAAAGATGTTGGCCCAAATCCTGGCTACCAGATGTGGACCTGTTAGTTCGGTCCGTTGATCTTGACTGTTTACTACGATGTGGAAATGACCTGTCGAACACGGGGGACATTCATGTCCTACGCAGCCTAAAAGTCCTACTGTTTAACCATGTGGCCTACATTGTTAAAAATCTGATCTCAGATCTGAAATCATTTTTATATCAGGAACACGGAACGTGATTCTCTTCACGGTTGTGTTTTGTTAGCCGCATTAGCTCAGAGCAGGCGTCACTCACCTGACAGCCCTTTTTGTGGTGAAATCCCACCACGACAATGTGCAGCACTGGAACCCGGTTTTCGTCTCTTCCGTGAGGCTCCATGTCTGCGGGACCCTGCGGTCTCTGGGCTCTGGACTCTGAGATCCCGGGCCGAACGGAAAGCTCCTGCTCGGTCAGTAAACAGAACAGAGGGGCGGGCAGTAAGCAGTCAGCAGTTAACCCCGCCCGCTCCGTTCACGTACTCAAAGAGCAGCGGAAGACACAGGAAAAGACGAGGAATCAATGCCTTGCACTTCCGGTTACGACTGCGCTAAGGTGACGTTCGTTCCGCTTTGCTATTAATAACAGTTTCGAATTGTGAAGAGATTGTTGAAATGTATTAGAAGTATTTTCAGGAGTTTATGGTTAAAATGAACTGTAAATAAACAAACAAAGAGACTACAACAGATACAAAATAATTATAAACCGTATATATATATATATAAAACGGTATAATTAGACGTTTGACCAAAATTGCTTAAAGTTAGCAATAGGTAAAAGCTTCCTCTGGAGAAACCCCCCAATTCACTAAGTTTTAACCTAAATGGATGGAAACCCCCCAAAAATAATTCACTAAGTTTTAACCTAAATGGATCAGTCATCAAAAACTGTAAAAATAAAAAAGAAGTACACGGCGAAACATGATGTGTTTTATTATCTACTCTGTACACGGCAAAACATGATGTGTTTTATTATCTACTCTGATGATTTAAAAGATGTTGTTACAGAGAGATTAACTCTTGCTGAAGTACCGTTGGTCCCATTGAAGACATCAATTCATAGTTTGAACATGTCTCGTATGTTTTCAGAAGACGTGACATCTTTAAAATATCATTTTGTTTACTAAACTATTTTTACTTTTATTTTCCTAGATTGCCTGCATTGCCAACATGGATTGTGTGTTAAAAACAAAAAAGTAATGCGATGACGATATAATGGCTTCTGCCACAGCAACTGTGACAGTGAGATGTCACATTCCTAAAGCTTTGATGTCTCATTAATGGAAATTATTGTACTTTGATGTCTTTACTTTAATATGTCATCACATAAAGTCAAAATTACATATGATGCTGAGCTCAATAACCAATAATCAACTTACCAACACAGCAAGGAAGAAGGGAACCGGACGAAGAGAAGGACAAGTGAAGCAAAGGAAAGAAGAGGAAGAGGAGTCCGTTGAAGAAGCTACCAAGTCAGGGCACCTGTTGGAATCTCTCTTGTTGTAAATCTGGAGAACAAAAGCAGTATGTTGCCTGTCTTCGGACGGCCACGATCAACACCAGGTGTTGCATGTCTGAAGACGTTCCTTATCTCCTACAGTCTGATGTTCTGGATCACCGGTGTGATCCTGTTGGCGGTGGGAGTATGGGGTAAGATCAATCTGGAGAACTATTTTCCTCTGCCTTCACGAGGGGCCAACATGGCACCATGGGTGCTGGTCGGCACTGGGGTTGCAGTAATTATTTTTGGACTGTTTGGTTGCCTTGCGACTTGGCAGGGCACCCCGTGGATGTTGAAGCTCTACGCCTTGTTTTCGATCCTCGTGTTCCTGCTCGAGATTGCGGCAGCCATCGGAGGCTTTATCTTCAGACAACAGATCAAGGCAATGCTAGGTAGCATCTATACAACTGCCATTAACACGTATGATGGCAAAGGTGTAACTGCCACTGGTGTCGACACTATCCAGAAGACTCTGCGTTGTTGTGGGGTCCACTTTTACCATGACTGGAACACATCGAGCTACTTCACAACCAACGGAATCCCCACTAGCTGCTGTAGCACGACCAATTGCCCCAGTGACTCGCTCAAAGACGTCTCGCTTGCTCAGAGCCTGGTGTACAATGAAGGATGTTTTTCTTTAATAACCAATGCAATGGAGTCAAACCTGGCCATCGTTGGTGGAATCTCCATCGGGTTTGCTTTCTTCCATCTCCTTGGGATTTTCCTGGCCTGTTACTTTTCTCGTTTCATGACTGCCAAACCACAACCCTAGCAACAAGTTGGTTCAACTTGAACTTTTAAATCACACGCAGTTGAAGGCAGGACACCAACTGCTGTCGGACGACAGAGACAATGAAGAAAATGTACAAATTACTGGATAGTTTCATTGAGTAGCCAGTAATGAAACAGTGAGTATGCGTTCTGCATTTCAGCTCAGAGTCTAGAAGAGGCCACTCACAATAGCGGTACCAGATTACCATCAAACACCTAAACCTTCTCAGAAGAAGGAGAATCCAACAACTCAACCTTAGGGATCAACTATCATCACTAACTAACCCAGGAGGACACCGTATAGTAACATCACCAGCACTGACTGTCAACAAGTCACAACCTTCACATAAACAATATGGACAAAGACCACGGTGCAAATACCTGGGCGTCTGCTATTAAACACATCACTCCAAACTCAGGAACTAGTAAGAAACTGCCTTCAAACACCACTAACATTTGACGAATCCAAACAGAAGACAGTGAGTCTCTGAAGTCCAGAATAAGGAAGTGACGCAACATTAGTCCAGAGTTGTACTTTCATTATCAGTGTGTTCACAAAGTCCCATAGTTGAAGGAAATACTCACGTGAAGATGACCACACACATTAATTGAGTTGCTTACTCTTAATTTGATGGACAGAGAACTGCCCACACCTGAGGTGTCCCACGTGGACATTGGTCAGGCTCTTTTCGATCACCTGGTGTGGGTTGTGCTTCTCAAAGTCCAGGATGAACGCTTGTAAGGTTGTATTCCCAGAATAACTGCATGATCTGACCCCAGAAAAAGACTTCACTGGTGCAAGAACCGGTGACGATAACACTTTCTTACAGCTCTAGAAAAAACACTTTTCTGTGAAGGACAGGACTAAGAGAAATGATCTTTGACAAACTTTTACTAGATCTTGGAATTTCTAAGGAAAAACTCAACTAGGGGTAAATTGTGGTCTTGGCTCACAAAAAGAAAAATTCCTTCATATTTTTCCTGAGAGGGTCCACGTCGTGATAATACTGGAAGACTTGACAGTCGACCATCAAGTATCCACACATCTATATGCAGATTATGGGTCTTTAAGTGAACATAGCTGAAATAATCAAAATAAGGGTTTAAATGATGTGGAAGGATTGGGAAAAGGATCAACTTTTAAATTATTGTTGGTTAAAAATGCGTTCAATTAGGAAAAGACTGAATCAGAAGTATCAAAAAAAAAAAAAACGCAAGAAACCTCTATTCTACAAGTAGAGGACACACAAAAAATAGTCTAGCAAAGAAAAAAAAAATCACCAGCGTCATGAAGTGTTTGAATATATGTAGCACGTTTTAGGTCACTTCAAATAAGAGCAATAACAATAGGGTGAACGTCTTTATCACCGCAGTCAGGATAACATTTGACATAACACGCAAATAATCCTACAATTTTGCTAAATTCTTCTAACCATACCCTAGAACCACTACTGAGTGACAACCAAATGATTTTTTAAAGGCATATTTAATGTATTTTAACATGTATGTTGTTTTATGAAAGTTGAATAAAATTCTGAATTAGTCTGAATTGGGTTTGTTTTTATAAATTGTAAAAGAGAACATAGAGGAGACACACAAGCGTCCAGTGAAAATCCAGAAAATGATTTATTTTTCGGTAAAACGGTAACACATTTAGAACCTGCAAAAAGACCACTGACAAATGTCTGTGAATTTGAGAACATGCAGGTAGAAAAAGGGCTCGATCACAGCCGTCGTCATTGAGGTAAGGTCCGTACCTCAACTCACAAAGTTCCAGATTTACTGTTGTCTTAATTGTGTTAAACTATGTTATCTCAAATGTTGTAATTCATTTTGACCACTGTACTTCATATTATAATGTATCTGTCGTAGGGTCATATTCCTGATGACTGTTGACTGTCCAGTCTCCAGTCTCTGGCGTGTTCCATCTCCTGTTAGTCACCAGTACTGGACTTGTCTGAGGTCCATCACCTTGACATCATCCTTCCCAACAACTCACAGAACTGGGGATTGTCATCATTTTCCACTCTCAACTCCTTTGAAGTGTAACAGCATTGAGGAGTGCTTCCAGCCGAGGCCTCGTACATTGGAGCAGTCTACCTAGGACAATAAAGGGAACCAAACTATCCAGTCTGATAAACCAAAAAAAAAAAAAACAGGAGTGCAAGCAGAAGAGAAGTTCAGTTGGACAGTTTTCAGATCTTTCACTTCCTCTCGTTTATATTTCCAGTTCAAACATGGAGACACAAAATATCCTGTCTTCAGACCCCCTGAAAGATTCCATTAACAACCTCAAAGAGGCGCTCAATGACGCCATCTCAGAGATCAAGTCTCTAAGGACTGACATTGGGGCGCTGATGAATTGGCATGGACAGATCAAGATGGAGGCAGAGCAGCTGAAGGAGGAGCTCAGGCAAACGAATGACCTCCTCAAAAATGAGACCATCCAAAGTGAAGCAACGACTAACGCTCACCTGGATGCACTGACCGAAAATGCTGAACTGATGTACGAGTTGAAGGAAATCTTGGAGTCTGTGGAGGACACCATGAGACAGAAGCTGGAGAGGAAGGACAAGGCCTGGATGAAGGAGGTGCAGATGATGAAGCAGCAGGTCCAACTGTGCCAGGAGAGCTGGCTTAAGAAGGAGGAAGAGTGGAGGATGAGGAGGAAGAGTGCCGAGAAGTTGTTTCAAAAGACCGAAGGCAACTCGACAACAAATGACAGGGAGAATAAATGTGTCCAAGAGGAGAGAGATTTGGAGGAGTTCCTAGATGAAAGAGACAGTCAGCTGCCCCTGGTTGATTCCATGGTCAGTTTGTCAAGTCCTACTCTGCCATTGGAACAGCAAGGACATGATGTGGAGCACAAACCAGAGTACCAGGAAATAAACGTGGTTGGTGAGAAGAGCATGTTATTGCAGAACGAGAAAGTGCGGAAAGACAGTGAAAAGATGAAAAAACAGTCACGGGAAAAGAAGGTGAGGTGGGCCCCAGCACCAACCTGTGAGCCGAATGTGAACAGAACTCCCAAAAGCACAGTTTCCAAATCCTGTGCTCCAGCGCCCTCTGTTTCCCACGTACCTGCTCTGCAGAGCCTCAACAACGAAGGTGAAAACAAGCTGCCAGATGACAAGGAACTAAAGGGAACAGAGTCACCCCCAGTCAGAGAGGACGTCTCTGTGGGCGTGGCTCAGTTGGACTTGCTTGGCGGCCATATTGTTTCAACAGAGAAGAACTCAGACGCTGACTCTCTCCACGTGGATCTGATGGTTACCAAAGACGCTTCACCAACATCTAAATGTGCACAGCCTGTTTGTGAAGCAGGTGGATGTGGGAGGGACCTCAGCCAGATCAGTGCTAAGCCCCTCCCCCAAACATGTTCATCTGGACCAGAGGAAGACACTGTCCCTGCTTTGTAACCTGAGACCAGCCAAGATCGGGGGCATAAATCTAGATTTTGCATTGTGTACATTGGTTCTCAGGTCAAAGTGAATCAATATCTTGATACTTCAAGTGTCATGGTATCACAACGGTATCAACAAAGTGTCGGCTGTGTCCACAGTGTCCACTCTCAGCAGAAAGTCGTAAAAGAGTCAGTCAAGGATACAGCAAAAGGCCAAACTGGAAAACTAGTCCTTCTTGTTTTATCATATGGGATGTATGACCAAAGCAGAGAAGCATCCAAATATGATGTATCTAAAGCAAGATGTTGCAAAACACTTTTATTGAAACTTGATGAAACAGTCCTAGTCTATAGAGCTCTTACAAAGGTCTCCCGAAACATTGTCAAGATGTCACTGCCATTCAAGGACCACATCAATCGATCTCCTGGGACATAACCAGGTGTAGGCTTGGAATCATCCAGACAAAATTTGCAAATACCTCACCAACCCCACTACGATCTCTCAAGAACCGTCCAGACCACAGACAACCCAAGAAACTGTGCTCTAGTTTTCACCCCGGTGCATTGAAATTGAAGAAATGAATCTTTGTCTCCACATGTGACCAATGGACTCACAAACTGTCTGGGGTGGACCCTCTCTTCACCCACTGACAGCTGGGATTGGCTCCAGCACCCTCACCCCTCCCTCATGACCTTACAAAGGAATAAACGGTAGATATAGGATGGATGGATGGATGGATGGTTGGTTGGTTGGATGGATTAATGATTTTATAAAACCAATAAGACCTGGTTCTTACTGAACCCTTCATAACTTTAGAAAGAGCTCGTAAAACCTGTGGAAGAGTCTGTCATGAAGCACAAAATAACCACGTGTAAAGTCCTTCTCTTCTTATTAGTTAGCATATTGATCCAAACCCAACAGCAAAAGCCCCGTCAAACCTTGAGAATCTCTGGAGTCAGATAGAGCAGTCATAAAGGATTTCATTTATGTTTTTTAAACATAATAGCTCTCTAATTTGTTTAAGTGTGAGTGAGAGTATTTATGGAACTGTGAATTTAATTAAAGAAATGCTTCATATAGTATTAAAACATGGATTTAATTTTGAGACCATTGCCTAGTTCATGTATAAAACCTTTTTATTTCTGCGCAAACCTTAATGTAATAAATTGGAAATTTCTAAATTACGTCCTAATTAGTTTCATTTCGACATTTTATTTCATACTTTGTGTCAGTTTCATTTTATGTATTTTATGTATGTTGTTTTTTACTTTGTGTCAGTTTCGTTTTATGTATTTTATGTATGTTGTTTTTAAACGTGACCAGCAGAAAATGTTAAATGTTAAATGTTGTGTTGTTCTGTATAGATTGTCTCTTCTGGTGCTCATACGTAGCACCTTCACACCATGACCACACTTCCTGTGCAGCAGTTTGGCCTGTTCTGTGGTTATTTTGTTCAAAGACTAAACCACTTCTTTGTCTTGATGTTGACGTTGAACCATCACACTACCATCTGTAACTCGTCCTGATTTCAGATCCATCGTTGGACCAGTACACTACATGCTGCTGGTTCTTCTCTCAGAGATTGGGCCATGGGATCGTCTTGGGGAGATCTGCCCCTGTGCTACCACGGTGCCATTAGCAAAATGGAGTGTGAAGATATTCTTAACCAGAAGAACAAGGATGGAGCGTACCTGATCCGTGACAGTGAGACCATTCAGGGAGCCATGTGTCTGTGTGTGTAGTGAGTACACTATCATGTATACCTTCATGTCCTGTCGTGTCCTGTTACTGCGCTCCTGTTGTCTTATTATTTATAAAGGTAATTATAATCTTTTTATTAAGATGTGGTCAGAAATGAACAGGAACCAGGTGTTATGGTCGCCCTTTGAGGTTTCCATGACGATCGCTCAATAAATATAGACATGATCTTTTCAACGTCTCAGTGCAACATATGCGTAGGTAACTATACTTTGTTGGCACAAGCAAAAATTTTCTAAAAAAATATTTTTTCTAAGTAGCTAAATTGTAGCTAAAGATTTCTCCTAGTTGGTTTGAAAGCAAAGTCAGGCAAGAAAAAGTGGAAAGTTCGCCACAAATAACCACGAAGGAAGGGATGGAAGTCAGTGAGAATAAATTACATCGATATCAGAATAAAAAAAAAAATTATAGCCAGGAATTAGCTCTAAACATTATGTCCAAAATGACATGATGATGATTATTGTTGTATCAGCAGATTTCATTATGTTGGTTTTCTAATTTATTTTCCATCTCGGTGGTTCAGTGTTGCATTGTCTACAAAGATATTGGCCTATTTTTTATTAGTTTCATCTCTTTTTTCTTATGAACAAATATTTACCTCACCTACGTCTGTTGCTAACGCTCACCAGCTGTGTTGTCTCTGTAGTAAGAAGAAGGTGGTGTACACATACAGACTTTTTCGCACATTCTCTGGACAGATCGCCCTCATGGTAAACAAACACACACACACACATTCAGGTGACTGATCATGTAACATTGGTGAGGTAAGGTGAGAATTAAATTTTAGAAAATAATGATTTTCGGCTGTGTTCTTTTCTTTTCAGACAGCACGGGGCGTAGAAGAAATATTCTTCAAGAGTGTGGAAGATCTGATTCTTTACTTTAAGAAGAAGAACAGGGGTCTGGCCATGCACTTGCGACATTCTGTGAAGAGAAAGGCTGTCTCTTTGATCCAACGTCACAGGCCACCTGAAAGTGCACCTGTATAGGAATCCCAGCTTCAGGAGTGTGCCAGTACGAGTTAAAACGTTTTAATTGTGCACTGGTGATACCAATATATTTCAGATCTTTGGGCTTTTTATTATGTCATACGCATACTAATATATATTCCCTGCAATTGTAACAAAGATGTGTTTCCATTACAGGAGCTATAATCTGGAACTATATATTTTTGCCAAGAATTATATGTAATGAGATGTGGCACTGTTGCTACAAATTCCTGGAATTCCTGGAAACAAGAGCAATGGTGTTATTTAATATTTATGTATTAACAAATATTTTACTACTTTTTATGTCCTATACGACATAGACTGCAACATTTAATTTTTTTTAAATTGTTTAATTTAAATTTGATTGTATAAATAAAAATGTTAGTATTCTGTCCTTTTTCCTACTGTATAGAGTCATTATCACTAACTACTACAACAATTATACTAATTTAAACAAGAGAAACACATAAATGCACAGTAATCAGTAATTTATTCTGTTTTATTTATATTTTTGTTCGTCTAACTCCATTTCCGGTTTGGGCTACACTATTCGAGTGGCTTAGGGGGAAGTTCTGTTCGATCATGTTGGGTTGGTTTTTTTTTTTAAACATGACGGATATTTTTATCAAATATATACTTTTTTAGATCTAATAAAATAACCTTTATAAAATATTAGAATAGCGTAGCCCACAAAACATTATTTAAAGCATGTAGCGGAAAGTCTTCTCCCCTTCCTCAAACATGGTCGGTTCCCGGCCGGTTTGAAGCAGAAGCGGGAGGACGTGACGTAGCCGGCTGTTACTGTGCTGTATTTGCTGTTGATGTTTGGGGAAGAAAGTATAAATGTTTCAAGTAGACCGTTACGACAAACTATGAAACCGCGTTGTAATATTATCTGATAATACCGTTTGTGAACGTTACTCAAAATACATTACTTTATTTGCGCTGGTTAGAAATAGCCTGTATTTGAAAATTCAATATCGAACAATTTAAACTAACTGCGCTGCGCAGGATGGACCTGACGACGAGTTTGAAATCTCTGCTGTTGGCCATCCGTCAGTACAAGGATAACAGGACGACAGAAAACACAGCACAGCTGCAAAGACAAGTGGAGGTGAGTTAACTTTTATACAAACTCTAATGGATCTAGATAATCCTTGAATTAATTGTGGACGCGATACTAACACTGTTTAAAACACGTGTCTAAATTGTTGGAGAAAAAATTAAATTACCAAAAGTTGTTGATGTGAAACGTTTATACCTGACATTAGCAATATGTACAATGTGTTGGGAAATCTTTAGCAATAATGTGCTCTGGATATTGTATTGTTTAGTATATTGAAGAATGTACAGACTATATATGTATGTATGTATGTATATACGTATGTATGTATATATATGTATGTATATATATATATATATATACATATATTATTTGAAAGTAATGGAGACAAAAGTCAATTGCAAACTGTTGCATGACAAAATGAAGATTTCTTTGATACTTTGATAATGTTCTTCTATTAAAATATAATTATAAATTAACATCCTGGGACTGTTGCTATGATTTTAAAAACATCAAAAGTCAATGTGAAACTGTTTTTGCAGGATGTTTCCAGTCTGAAGTGTGACCATCTGCTGTCGTCAGGCCAGGTTTTACCCTGCGAGTGTGTGAGTGGACTGGTGGAGCTGGCTGGAAGTCCAAACACTAGCCCAGCTCTGATCAGCTCCATCATCAACCTGCTTGCTCAGCTAGGTAAGTTGTCTGAGTGCAAACGGCTTTGTTGCTTCTCGACACCACAGGTGCCACTAGTGATGCACTGAAATTAAAATTCTTGACCAAAACCGAAAATGAGGAAACACCGAAAGAAATTGTTATGCCAATTATTAGTACCATTGCATTTATGGCTCTCAATAAAAATTGCTCTAAAGGTGCCAGAAAATTCGGTGCATCCTGTGCTCAGTGCTGTGACCGATCATCAGCATGAAAATGGTCAGTTGAAACAGAAAACAATAAAGATCCCAGACAGACTCTAATCCTGGTACTTGTCCTTGTTGTCCTTCAGCCTGTGACAATGACAGTCGGGGAATTCTTCACAGCAGCTACAACCTCACCAGCACTTTGGCCTCCGTTATTCATTGTCACAACGCCACTCCAGAAAATCCACTGGTACTACAGGTACGTTTTTTTGCACTCACTGAACTGCCTGTTTGTTGGTGAGGACTTTTTGTCAAACCCATTTTCACCAGGGGCCACATCAGCAATACAGTTGCCCCTGAAGGGCTGGGTGTAAAGTCTGTATAGATCTCCAGTGTCAGCCACTGGAAGAACATTATATAAATGGTAGATGGACACAAGTGGAAATAACTTGTGTCCAAGACTTTGTCTGTGTTTTTGTTTTTTGTTTTTTAGTATGTACGTTTTTGCGTCTCTGTTTTTTGTGACTTTTTCTCTACGATGTTTAAAACCTGATGTACGATGTCCACCTTTCAGTGTCTGCAGGTACTGCAGAAACTGACATACAACACACAGATCTTCCAGTCTACAAACTACATCCAAGAGCTGGTGTCTTTCCTTGTGACCAACATGTAAACCCCTCCCCTCACAGTCCAGTCTGATTAAAATGAAATGACAGTCTGTGAGAGGTTAGTCCAGGAGTCACCATTCTACCTTTCTATATCACTGCAGCCAGTCTCAGAACGATGACATCATCATGCCCTGTCTGGGTCTCATGGCCAACTTGTGCCGGGACAACCTGTCAGTGCAGAACCACATCAAGTCTCTGGTGAGTTTTTAAGCTGATTTCTTCTAAATGTATCAGAATCTTAAGTCAAAGTCACTGAAGAAGATTCAGGACCACAAGGTAGACCGAGATAAAAGAATTAAAAACATTTATTTTATTTTTTTTTTAAGGATAATGTCAAACCCTTTTACCGCACGTTGATCAACTTCCTTGCTCACAACAGTCTGACGGTGGTGGTCTTCACTTTATCCATCCTGTCCAGCCTCACTCTGAATGAGAAGGTTGGAGAAAAGGTAACAAAAAAAAATTTAATTATAAAATATGTTTTGTTTCACAAACACACGAACCTTTCTTTGGAATGGTTTCAAATGACAAAGAAATGCTTTGAAATCAGCCTTTACACAGAAATGTTTGTTTGTTGTGAAAGTGTTTGGTTCTGATTTCACTGCTGTGTCAAACATAAATCTCTTTCCTCGTCAGCTCTTTGATGCAAAGAACATCCACCAGACTTTCCAGCTGGTCTTTAACATCATTGTGAATGGAGATGGGACCCTGACCAGAAAATACTCTGTGGACCTTTTGGTGGACTTGTTAAAGAATCCTAAAATAGCCGACTACCTGAGCAGGTGCAGTATGACCCCAGTCTGCAGCAGGCCTTCATCAGCCACAGTCTGTGTTCTCTCTCTGCTCTCTAACACTCTAACATCTAACATCTGGGTTAGTTCTGGAGTTTTTAAGTCATCTTCACTAATGTTTACCTGTTTATAGGGAACTTCTGTTCTTCTGCTGTTAAACCTCACATCAGGAAAAAAACGACACACAGCTGAAGCCAACTTTTATCTTCAAAAGCTGATTCTTCAGCTCAGTGTGAACTCATTTGGCAGGGACTTAAACTGCTGGTTTATTTTTAGGATTTTGTGTTTATGTATTTTTACATTCTTAGGTATCCACACTTCTCAGCGTGTGTCTCTCAGGTTTTAGGACTGCTGCAGTCCAAAGACCCAGACTCTGCAGCCAAGGTGAGACCAAAGAAACCCGACACTCCCCTTTACCGTCTTTAACCAACAGGTCCCTGCTGTTGTATGTAACACGTGTCTTCACTGTGTGTGTGTGTGTTTTGCAGGTCTTGGAGCTGCTGTTGTCCATGTGCAGTGTCTCAGGTCTGCGCACGCTCCTGTGTAATGTTGTCTTCAAACCAGCCTCAGCCAAGCTGAAAGCTGGCAGTCGTAGACAGGTGGCCGGACGAAAAGAAGAGTCCGGGCTGGCTCTGGTGCAGTGGCTGAGTTCCCCTGTGGAGGGCACCGAGTCCTGCTCTCTCCAGGCCCTGCACCTGCTGCATGAGCTATTGAAGGTATCACCTAAACTCTTGGGCTGGGTGATTAAAATGTGATATAGAAAGAGACTGTGTCGTTTTAACCTCTGAAATCATTCATTAAAAAAACTGCCTCTTTGCTGACGTCAGGTGGTTCCTCTTCTCGTCGTCTGTCTTTGACTTTTGTTTGGTGTTTGTTGTGATCCTGTCAGGAGTCTTTGGGTTCAGCCAGTGTTCCAGATTGTGTCGTCGGCTTTGTGGAAATGCTGCTTCCTGTCCTGCTGTCGCTGCTGAAGGGCACTCCAGCAAAGAGTGACGCTCACCTGAGGAAACACTGTCAACGTGTCACACACGTCACTAGTCTACTGCTCAATATCCTTTCCAGACAGAACTCCTCCTGTTTTCTCCTCCTTCTCTTCTGCTCTTTGTTTTTGTGATCCTGCTGGAACTTCAGCCTTAACACCTCCACTCCTCTGCACTGACGACTCCACCAGATCCATGGTGTCGTGTCATATCAGCGCTCAGCTCTGCCTTTCACAGGTGGAATCCCTGCTCTCCTGTTCCTGTAGCAGCAGTCCACTCACCAGTGTTCCTGCCGGCTCTGACGACAGTCTCAGGTGAGTGACGCTCAGAAATGTGGCTGGAGTTTATTTTGTTTAATATGTCAAATACAGACTTTAGCTCAAAACTATGAACCGTTTTCTGTTCATCTGAAATATTTGTGTGTGTTCTCAGTCAGGTGTGTGCAGAAGCTCTGCTGAAAACTCTGGAGTTGATGAGCAAACTGAGACAGCAGGTGAAAGACATGGAGACCAGCTTCTACAGGATGCTACAGGTAAAAACACAGGTCAAAGGTCACAGGCGGTACAGTCATCTGACCCAGGTCAGATTGTTGTGTTGTCTCTGCTGTGGTCATTTCCTCCTGCTGGTTTTCAACCCTAGGATCAGAGGATCATCACTCCTCTGTCTCTGGCCCTGACCTCTCACCACAGAGAGTGTGTTCAGACTGGACTCTCGCTGCTGTTTGAAGCCACTCCTCTCCCAGACTTTCCCTCCTCAGTGTGAGTCTCCCACTGTAGACAGCTGTAAAAATCAGAACAGCTCATGTTAGCCAAAGGTTTGGTGCATTTTTAACTGGTGGTGACTCATAGATGAACCACCTTCAGACTGGACTCTGGAGGTCCTTGTCCTCATCCTCCTGTCCTCCTGTCTTCTTCTGTGCTGAACTTTTCCATTTCACCTGAAGTCTTGGAGAAAGCATGGCCGCCAACAACGCCTACCGCCTGAGAGAGGCCGAGCTGTCGGTCAAACGTCTGGCCGTTCAGGAAGCCCCCCCTCCCAGGTCCAACACTAACCAACTGGACTCGTCCACCTCCTCCAGCAGGGGGGTTCATAGTCTGGTGGAGAAGATCCAGAACGGCCTGGAGGTAAATGGATCCCAGAACTTATTCATGTTTGAAGAACAGAACTCTCACTGCATATTTGTGTGTCTTCCCTGGTGTCAAACCCAGTCACAGAAACATCTCTTTCCTGTGTTGCAGCTGCAGGAGCAGGTGAAGGAGTCGCACGTCTCTGAGATCATCGATGTTTATGCTCAGAAGATCTCAACGTTTGCAGTGAGTTTCTTTTTGTGATTAGATTTAATTTTTCTGCAGAGAATTAGATTTCTTTTAACTTAACTGTATTTCACATATTTTCTTATATTTACATCTTGGTCTGTGCAACAGTCTGTGCTTGGGCTGCGGATGCTGGTGTTTATTTTTCATAACTTGATCTGTGCTTGGTCTGCGGATGCTGGTGTTTATTTTTCATATTTCTTTAACCTTTATCTGGACAGTCTCAGGAGCGCCGCCTGCAGGACTTGTTGGAGGCCAAAGCTGTGGCTCTTTCTCAGGCCGATCGTCTCATCGCTCAGTATCGTTACCAACGATCTCAGGCTGAGGCTGAAGTGAGCTTCACTCAGCGTGTGACACCACGAAGGCGGTGATGATCATTATCATAAATGTTTTGTGGTTTTGTGGAGTGAAACAGAAACCGGTTTCTGTTCCTTCAGGCTCAAAAACTGGGTTCTCTGCTGAAAGACGCCGAGCGCCGCTGCGAGGATCTGCAGTGTGAGCTCCGTAACCAGACTCTGGAGTTGGAGCGCTCCAAGGTGGACATGGAGGCGCTGCTGCAGCACAACACCAGACTGCAGCTGGACTCTGAGGAGCACCAGGCTCTGAAGGGAGGCTACAATGCCCTGCTCAACAGGTCAGAGTCACAACACTGGCCACTGATCAAAATAAACTTTATTTATATGTTTCAGGTTTAAACCAGGCTGTAATTAAATTAATTTTTAACAAAACAAAATAAGTATCAGGATTTATTCCTTCCAGGAATAAATCCTTTCACACTTCCAGGTTTAATCCTGAATTTAAGAGTCTGAAATCCACACTTCCAGGTTTAATCCTGAATTTAGAAACCCTTGTTCTTTTGCTTAAAAAGTAAAAAGAAAATCTTTGATTTTGTGTTTATTTTGATGAAAAATTCTCTCTGGAAAAATAATTATTCAGGATTTTTTTTGTTTCCTATTCAGATTTAATGAAACTGAACGTCTGCTGAAGGAGCTTCAGATTTCCCACATCTCTGTCACCAAAGTGAACGACACTCTGAGGAAGAACCAGGAAGCTCTGCAGCTGCAACATGACAAGTAAACGACCCCCCCACCCCCCAACACCCACAGAGTCTTTAATCAAACAGTGATGCTGAAGACATTCACTACAGACCAGCGTTAACCCTGACCTTCTGTTCAGGCTGACCTCAGAGCTACAGGACAGAGACGAGGAGGTCAGGTCGCTGCAGTTGGACCTGCAGCACAAAAACTCTGACATCACAGGTCTGTCGCACCATCACTGTCAAACTGTAATATTAATACTTAGTGGGTTTTATTCCACATGCTGTTGTTGAGGTTCAAGTTTGAAGTTTGAATCCACTTCACCAGGTTGGAGCTCAGTAGACCCTCGAGGTTCCTCTGAGGAGCACTGAGCCTGGCGTCGTCCTCAGTTAAAGCATCTTTAGTAGGATTTTAGACGTTTGCCTCTCTCACGCCCTCTGGTGTTCACATCATTGTCTCTGTCAGGTCTTCATGCTGAGCTGCGCGCTGAAGGGGAAAAGGGAAGACGGAAAGACGAAGAGAGGAAAGAGCTGGAGGAGACTGTGGACGTTCTGAGGAAAGAACTGAACAAAACGGAACAATCCAGAAAAGACGCCAGCATCAAGGTAACCACAGTGTCACTGCAGCCGCTCTGCCGCTGCGTCCACTGTTACCGCTCTGCTCCTCAGTAAAGACGTGCTCTCTTCTCCAGGCCTCCTCTCTGGAGCTGCAGAAGAGCCAACTGGAGACCAAGCTGAAGCAGAAGGAAGACGAGCTGAACAAACACTCGGCCATGATCGCCATGATCCACAGCCTGAGCAGCGGCAAGATAAAGAATGAGGTCAACCTGTCACTGTGACGTGGTGGAGTCAGAAAACAGAACACAGAGTGTCGCTGTGACGAGACTCCACGGGCCGTCAGTGGAATCCTGCTCTGTTATTGGTCAGTTCCTGGAGGATGTCCTCGTACAGGTTTGCACCGTTGTTTGTGTCAGAGCAGCGGTCTTCTTCGTGGTCATATGTATGGACGAAAAACTGGAGAGTGCCACCAACTGGACTGGAGGGTAATGCGCTACGGTCAGACGCCACATCTAGTTAGGTTTCTGGAGACGAGGACAGTCCCTCGGTGAGCTGCTCCATCTAAACTGTGCTGTGTAACTGGGTTTTTTTTTTTCTTTTTAAAGTCATTGTCTAATCTGTGTGTGTGTAATAAATCCAAAATTCATAAAGAAAATAAGTTTTCTTCGTTCACAAACCAAGAAGAACACATTGAATGGGCTGTCAATCAAATTTTTCTGAATTTGAATAATCACAGGGTGCTGTGGATTATTCAAGGCAGTCCCTCATTAAACTTATATAATTAAGATTATTAAAAAAGTTCTATCTAATCCTGGTTATAGATGACCGTGATTGATCCAGATTAGTCAACATTCCTAATGTTGACAAAAAATCTTTTTGTGTAAATTTACAGGAACAGACGGTACCAACATCAGCAGGTAGATGTCAGTGTTTCTGTGTTTAACGACTAAACCAAACAGTGGGATTATTAAATGTCCAACAGTCTGTCCATTGAGTTGTTGTGTTTCAGTCCAGTCGTCTGTCGTGTCCTTCTGCTCCCAGTCCCTGAGGTCATCAGGTGGGGGCAGTATAACAGAGTCACTCACACTGTCTTTCACAGCTACAGTCTGTTCAGAGTGAACTTTGACCTAATCTCCGGTCTTTGGGCTGTGGAGGAAACTGAAGAACCTGCAGAGAACCCCCCCACACACACACAGAGAGACCAGCAGTTAGAGCCGGGGATTGAACCACTGACCTTTTTGCTGTAAGGTAAAAGCACTAATCGTGGCTCCATCGTGGTGTGTGGAGGTGACTGCGGCTGTTCTCCCTCTGCTATTTTCTACTCAGTGTTTCTGCAGCTGTCTCCTGTCACTCTCCCTCCACCCACCGACCCCCCGCCTCCCTCCATACCACTCACTGTCTTCCTCAGCAGTGGTCGCTGGACGTTTTCAGGATTTTGAGTCGGGACTTGCGGATCACCAGGAAACATGAAGCTCCATCTTGGAGCGGCTCTGGGCTCCGTTCTTCTGCTCACTCTCTTCTCATCAGGTGAGTCTCTGTGTGAAACCTCCAGAACCTTGACGTGTCTGTGATCTGCTCATGTGCCTGGTCTACCAGTCGGGTGGACGTTCTCAGACTTAGGACTTGGTTACACTTACAGTAGAACCTGGAGCTAAGAACCAGGAACGGTTCTAGACACAGTGCTGTCTGTGTCCAGGATAGAAAACCAGGAAATGTGGACAAATTCTGCATGTTCTTCTTCAGAAGTTCTTCTTCAGAAGTTCTTCTTCAGAAGAGTTCCTGGAGGTTCCATCAGGCTGAAGTCCACAGAACTGCAGAACCATAATGTTCTAACCTAAATAAAAATGTCTGATAAAACGAAGACTTCAAGTAGTCTTCAAGTCCCTGACACATTCCTTCTCTTTGGGGCTGGTGTGAACCAGGGTCCATCGACTGCAGGTTTCCATGAATCTTAGTCCTGGGTCACCTGTCTCCCAACGTCCAATCAGGTTGCTCTGTACCTGATCAGCTGATGAATCAGAGCGACGGCCATGGGAAGAAACAGGCAGAGAGTTCACAGACAAATAAACAAACAAACATGGCTGCCAGTTACAGTGTGTGTATGTGTGTGTGTGTGTGGGGGGGGTGAAGTGAAGCAGCTGTCGGGAGGAAATGTGAGCTGCATGGAAGAATTCACACACACACACAGTGAATACCACGCAGTCTTTCACCTTCAGTTATTAGACTGAAGAACAGACTCTGTCAGTTTCTCCTCTGTTTATTTGTTTATTTGTGTTTATTTCATAGACGTGTGTTGATTTATTTATTCAACAGGCAGAAGTCAGAGGATTTAGTCAAACTAGTCACCAGGGGGCGTATGTGTGTGTGTGTGTGGGGGGGGTCAGTCTCCAGTTTAGGTCGAACGTTAACAGACAACAGGGAATCAAACCGATGACCTCTTTGCTGTAAGGCCAAAAGTACTGATCGCCCCATGTGACCCAGTTTATACAAGGATAAACTGACAACTTTACACCACAAATGTAAAACGACAGGACCAACACACGTGAGCTGATCTTTCCTGTTCCACCTGTTCCTCCCACCGACGTCTACACCGACCTCAAAACTCTGCTCAGCCGATTCTTCAGATTAGTATTTATAAACACGCCCCCATTTTATTGGTTGTTCTTCTGATCGTGTGTGTGTGTGTGTGTGTGTCAGAGTGCTGGTGCAGGAACGAGGAGGAGCGTCTGATCAACCACCTGATCAAGGAACGAGGATACAACAAGGAGCTGCGTCCTGTGCAGAGACAGCAGGACGCTGTGGACGTGTACCTGGCCCTCACACTGTCCAACCTCATCTCTCTGGTACCAACACACACTCTTCATGTCCCTGTGTGTGTGTGTGTGTGTGTGTGTGTGTTTCCGGTGCTGCGATAAATCAAATTATATATTCAGTGTGATGGATTTTATCACAGTGGATAAACCTGGGAGTTTAAATAAATAAATAGTCATGAACTTTATATAACAATAACAAAAAGTCTCTCTTATTTGTTGCCCCTCCTCCACAGAAAGAAGTGGACGAAACGCTGCTGACAAACGTATGGATCGAACATGTACGTAAAAAATACTGAAAAAAACGGTAATTTAAGGGTTTATTCATTTCAGTTTTTGTTTTTGTTTTTTTCATTTTGATGCTTCAGGTGTTTTATGAAATCCTTAAGTCATTCATATTTAAAGCATATGCTGGCCATTAAAAGTGTAAACCAAACTGATTTTAGCTCCCAGGCCAGAGTCCATAGAGAAAATAATATGATCACTGACCACCGCCCTCCTGTGGTCAGTTTGTGGCACTGACACAAATCTATTCAATCTCGGAAGTCACAAAATATCAGGTCTGTGTGCTAGAGCTGAAATGTCTTCTGTCCAGACCTGGATCGACTACCGTCTGTCCTGGAACACCACAGAGTTTGACGGCATCGAGATCCTGCGGCTGCCCACCAATATGTTGTGGCTGCCAGAGATTGTTCTAGAAAACAAGTGAGATTGTGCTCCATTCCACTTGACAAATGTCTAATACTTGACAAAAGAGAAACTTTACTTTCCTTAAGAAAAATATTTCTAGGCTAACGTTTACGGCTCCTCCTCCTCAGTAACGACGCTCAGTTTGAGGTGGCCTACTACTCCAACGTCCTGGTCAGCCCCAATGGACTCTGCTACTGGCTGCCCCCCGCCATCTTCCGCTCCTCCTGCTCCATCAATGTCAACTATTTCCCCTTCGACTGGCAGAACTGCACACTCAAATTTGTGTAAGACTCAAAATCAATTTGCAAATGTTCCCAACAAAATAGCCAAAGGCTAAACAAAAAGTTGCCTCAAAAATTAGTTTTTTTTTTTTTTTTAAACCAAAGGCCAAAGGCTAAACAAAAAGTAGCCTCAAAAATTAGCTTTTTTTTTTTTTTTTTTTTTTTTAAACCAAAGCGGTTATTCATGACACTGTTTGTCTGACTCCATTTCCCATGTGTCCCTGCAGCTCTCTGACCTACAACGCCAAAGAGATCAGGTTGATGCTGAAGGAAGACGAAGACGAGACCAGCAAGTGGACAGTAGAGTGGATCATCATCGACCCTGCCAGCTTCACAGGTCACATTTAACAACATGGAAAAAAAGAAGGAAATTCCACTCATTCTATAGTTACATTTGCCAAAATTAGAGCCAAGAGAAACTGAAAGATAGCTGCAGGTTAGCCGAGTTAAAAGATAGCTGCAGGTTAGCCAACTGAACTGTTCCTCTGCGTGTACCTGTGTCATGTCACAGAAAACGGGGAGTGGGAGATCATCCATCGACCGGCCAAGAGAAACATGTACAAACACATTTCCATGGAGAGCAACAAGCACCAGGACATCACCTTCTACCTGGTCATCAAACGCAAACCTCTCTTCTACATCGTCAACATCATCATCCCCTGTGTTCTCATCTCCTTCCTGGCCTCGCTGGTCTACTATCTGCCTGCAGACAGTCAGTTATTTCTCAGACAGTTCAACGTGTGTGTGAACTGTTTTCTGTCTCTTTTTCCAAAGTTCATACAGAGAATCAGTCATTTTACACCACAGACACTGATGACTTATCTAAACACCACAGACTCAATCAAAAAGACAAACATATTGTTAAATGACTCCACTGTTTGACATGCATTGTTCAGATTTACCTGAGTGAAACAAACTGACCACAGGAGGCAGCAGTGGACCAATCATCTCCTGTATCACTGAGGGCTAAAATCACTGTTTTTCTCTATGGACTTTGGTGCAGAGGCGTGGTTTTAATCAGTCTGTGTGTGTGTAGGTGGTGAGAAGATGACCCTGTCCATATCCGTGCTCTTGGCTCAGTCTGTCTTCTTGCTGCTGATTTCTCAAAGGCTTCCAGAGACGTCCATGTCTGTGCCACTAATTGTAAAGTAGGTTACGCACACACACACACACACACACGTCCAGCAGTGAAACGGACAGACAGAGGACTCCTGGTTCTTGTCCTCAGGTATCTGATGTTCATCATGGTCCTGGTCACTGTGGTGGTCCTCAACTGCGTGGTGGTCCTCAACCTGCACTTCAGGACGCCCAGCACGCACGTCATGACCAACTGGACCAAGAGGGTACAGCACACACTCAGCAGGCAGTGGTGGATTACCATCAACGACAGCAGTTTGACTCTTCTTCCCTCCTTCAGTTCTTCCTGGAGCGTCTGCCTCGGATCCTCAGGATGTCCCAGCCGGCTGACGAGGGGCCTCCCGTCGGTGAGACACGGACTGAGGACCAGAGCCACACATGCTGCAGGTGGGCGTCCTCCCCACCGGGGGTCAGATATGAGCCGTGTGAACCACGAGAAGTCAGATGATTATCACATTTCTGTTCCTCTACTGCCCCCTGTGTTCAGTTTGGGTCTTTGAGGTTAATGTTGACAAATTATTTGAAATTTGGGGATTCAACCAATGACCTTTGCTGTAAGGCAAGAGCACAAACCACTGTGTCATGCTGTGACACCTGTTGATTAAGTCGTGTTTAAATCCTACCCTAACTTTAGGACCGGTCAGAACCAGCTGTTCTGTTAAAGACCTACCTGTGTGTGTGTGTGTGTGTGTGTGTTTACAGTGGTGAATCCACAGGAGGAGGGAGATATGACGGAGCAGCTGTATGGAGAGATCAAACCAGCGGTGGACGGAGCAAACTACATCATCAGACACATGCGCAACAAAAACGACTACAACGAGGTTACACACACACACACACACACATATACGTTAAATCAATAGTTATAATAATAATAATATAAAGAGAGGGTCAGAGGTCAGAGGTCAGGGCCGTGACCTCACCCTGCTCCTGTTTCAGGAGAAGGACAACTGGAGCGGCATCGCTCGCACCGTGGACCGACTCTGCCTGTTCCTGGTGACGCCGGTGATGACACTGGGAACCATCATCATATTTCTGATGGGAATCTGTAACCACCCCCCCCACCTGCCCTTCAAAGGGGACAAGCATGACTACAGAGAGGACAACCCCCGCCTGCTGCTGTAACACACACACACACACACACACACACACACACACTGTCACAGTCAGGGTGGTCATGTGACGTTCCCACGTTGTTGTTTTTCTCTGACAGCTTTTGTTATGATGCTGTTTATAATCAAACTGACTTTTATTCCTTTGAATTGAATAAACGTTTTACACTCTGTCATTTTTTATTTTTTTTTGTGGTTGAACTTGATGAAAAGACGCTGCTCATTCTTCTGAACCAACATCCGTAGTCGAACCAGAGATTGAACCTCCTGTACCGAGCTCAGTGACACAAACTGACCACTAGAGGCAGCATTGGACCAGCAGGGCTTAAATCGTGTTTGTTTTCTACAATGATCGTGATGTAAACACTATCTGACCACGTCATTAGATTAGACTGAACTTTATTAATGCCACACGGGGGGAATTGTTTCAGTGAACAATATTTCCTGAAAAAAATAATTGGAAATTAAATTTAAAAACACCTGGAAACTGGAAACATAATAAAGTTTTATTTCAAATGAAAATAGTTAAATAGTTAGTTAATAGTTAATAGTTAACAACAAAACTCAGCAGTGGGCGTGGCCACTGTGTGATTGACGTACGACTACAGACAGATTTGTTGGACAGACACGTGACCTCCCAGAAACCCACAGAGACCATGAACAGTCTGGTCCACACGTCCCCTGAAAAACCAAATCACAAAGAAATACTTGAAGGTTACGACTGAAGCCTTTCATCTTATGAGGCACTTGGTTCTTCTTCTTCTTCTTCTTCTTCTTCTTCTTCTTCTGCGTTGTCGACCTGGTCGTTGGCAGTCGGGTCAGTGATGTCCTGTTGACCCGTCAAACTCACTGTTGTTCCTTCTCTACTGTCCACTTGTTGTTGGGCCCTTTTTAATTTTCTCACTGTAGAAGAATCAGAAGATAAACGATCAGGAGACATGAAAGAATCATATAGTATCGCCACCTACTGGTAGGGATGAAATCGCACAAATGAGTTAAAAATACATTTAAAAATAACAAATAAAAATTGAATGGTGCAACAAGGCGTAAGGAGTAGAATGTGTTATCTCACTGGTCATACCATGACACTACACACTCTAGTACAGTAGGTGGCGGTATGGGCCCTAAAAACATTGGTTGTGACCCACTAATGAACCAAGACGAACGTGTTCAGACACAGAGTTTCTCTCCAGTTCATTTTTCTTTGTATTTGTTTTTGTTGTTTTAATTGTATATTGTTTTTGCTAAGGCACAGACAGTGGGCGCTGTCGTATCCTGTGAACAGTCATGTGACCCAGTCTTCATCTATTTTGTTGGCTGATGAAACTCACATTTGCATCCGAGGATTGCAATAACTCCGTATGAAAGACACAGCAGGTAAATGAGTCCAAGGATGATGAGGATCATCAAGACATACTGGTTGGACTCTGAAACAGAGATGGAAACAACGTCAGAGAACTGTTTTTAGCAGCACACCAACAGTACTGATCACTGTCATCACTCCCACATTATTGATAAAATAACTACTCTCTGTCTCTCCTCCATCTCTAGTCTGCTCTCTTCTTCTTCAGTGGTGTCTCCATCAGAGGATTCAGGAGGATGACCTTTGACACCAGTTCCCAACCTGCTTCTCTGTCTGGTCTGACAACTGAAATCCACTTCCTTAAGATGTTCTTAGGAAATTTTTTTTAAATTTTTTTTTTAGGTTCGATAATATCCTGGTCAAAGGTCACACAGCTCAACACTGGACAAAGATACGATGATGATAGAAGAGGTCACAACTGTTGAGGAGACACAGAGTCCCTAACCCCTGACCCCTGCAGGAGTGATGACCATCTGTCACCCCTTACCCCTGCAGGAGTGATGACCATCTGTCTGAGGACTTTCTCACCGACGCTGGTTCACTGTCAGGTTCCTGTCGGCAGCAGCATCCTTACCTTGGGTGATGACCACGTCTGTCCAGGTGACGTAGGTTTCCTCAGATGTGCTGACCTCACAGATGTAGCTCCCCTGGTGGTCGGAGCTCAGACTGTGCAGCTGCAGGCCGCTCAGCAGGGAGAAGTTGGAGAAGACGTGATGCCTCCACTTACTCCAGATGGTCAGGTCTTCATGAGCGCCGCTGATGGATGCAATGGGATCACAGCATCCAAACTTCCAGGTCAGGTTGAACCTCTGTGAAGTGCTGGAAGGCGAACTGCATAAAATCTTCACACTGCCCCCTTCAGGAGCCGCAGCTGTAACTACAACAAAGATACACCAGATGTTTCTTTGGAGTTGCAACAAAACAAAAGTCGCCGCTCGATTGCCACGGTATTTTACCTTCACCCTTCAGGAAGGCAGTTCTTCTGTTGACGTCACAGCTGACGCTGCAGATGTAAGTGTGGCCCGTGGAGATGTTCCTGGTCAGCTTCAGGGAGCTGTGGACGCTGTAGAAGCCCAGCTTGCTCTGGTTGGTTGTAGTTTTGCTCTGCAGCAGCTGAATGTCAGTGGGTGGGTCAGTGGACCAGCTGAGCGTTGGAGCTGGATAGATGCCTTCAGCTGAACAGGTGACAGCATCACCACTGAAGTCGATGTCAACGTCTCTGACTGGAGCTGCAAAGAAAGGTCCCGGTCAGGCCGGTCCTGGCCCACACGTACAGCCACAAATGCATTTCAAACCTTTACCTTCAACAACCAGAGAGATAACTCCAGATTCGTCGGTGCTGGGTGCCGTCATGGTGATGCAGAAGTATTTGCCCTCGTCGATGGGGGTCACGTTCTTCAGCACCAGGGTTGCATTTCCGTCCAGCACGTGCTGCGCAAACAGTTCCGTTCGTCCCTTGTACTTGTCGGCCGGTGAGTTGTGTCCAACTACAAAGCTGGTGTTGCCGTAGCGCGTGCAGCTAACCACCGCCTTTTTCTTGTACCACATGATCCTGGCACCTTTACCGTCGGACTGGAACTGACAAGGTAGGATGCAGTCGTCGGGCGACTGACAGGTGATGGTGAGCTCTGGAGGCAGAAAGTCTGTGTTAGATCAGCTTTTCTGTGGTTGTTTTCTTTTATTATAGCCACAGCTTGATGACATCACCGAACCACACCTGCCCTACATCACCTGACCACTAAATGACCATGTGCATCACATCCATCTGTTCATGAAGTCTTGGGGTTTTTTGTATGTGCTGGGACTTCAGTCATCAGGGTTTACAGAAAAACACTTTCTCTAAAGGAATGCCCCGAGCTACTGCTAACCCGACTGGTAACCTGCTGCACCTGCAGCGGCTGTGAGTCAAAGATAAACCTTCAGGGCAGAGACGGTGCAGATTAGCTTGTGTGTTCAGAGGGAAATCAACGAAATCAGAAGTTTCCTAATTTACCACAGCCTGTGTCAAAGATGCTTCCAGATTTTGGTCCAAAACATGTCCAGAGCAGTTCTGAAAAACTTACCTTTTCTCTCAGTTGCCGAGGCAATCCAGAGGAAACAGCTGAGGAAAACCCACATCCACGCTGCCATTGCTGATGCCCGAGGTAAAGTGAAACCAAATCTGAACCTTTCCACTGGCATGACCGGTTCTTGTTTCCATGGGAGGATTGTAGTGAAGTAGCCGACACAGAGCCAGAGAATAGTTCTAATATTTCTGTGTAGTAAGCAGTAGTAAGCAGTAACCAGTGTTACTTTGTTGTGACCTTCTACATCCTGGTTCCAGTTTGTGGTTTAACGTTTAAAAATGAAAAAAAAAAAGCAGAAATATATAAATAAAACAATCAATGTTACTGAATTTTCTAAACGTTAGCATAGAAGGCACACAGGCACAGTCATTGAGCTTACCTGTAACTGTCAATAACTGTGTTACTTTACATAATGTACACTAGATAACTGTTCTTTTGAGTTTATAAAGTACTTCAAGCAAGTTTCATGAACTCATCAGTTTGTCTCCCCCTGAGGTGCAGTACAAACAAAAGCCACAGGAGGGCGGTCTCTCCTACCAGAGCGGTCAGGGCTGAAAAAGTCATCGTTCTATTTAAACTTAAATTTCACCGTTTGCTCCTGATAAAATGTTTTTGTTTCCGTATTTAAACTGTTAATATATACATATATTATTTTATTTCTGCTGTGTAAGCTGCCGTCTATGACGTCATTTCCGGCGACGAGCTGTGACGAGTGGTGGAATCGAACGGTTCATGGACGGTGAGTCAGTCGACATAATCTCTTTACTGTCAAATCTAAAATATTTACTCTTTTAATTATTTATTGTATTTTGTGCTATTTTTGAATTATGTTGGGACATTCTGTAAAATCCCCCCCTAAATTTACGTTACGTCACTTTTTAATTTGTTCGTAGTTATTGGTCTCTTTTTGTTTTGTTCTATCTGTAATTTTTCCCGCCATTCCGATGTTCTCTTTCCTTTTAAGTTTCCTGTGGTGGTTTTACTAACATTTAGCCACTGTGCTACATCTGCTGCTAATACCAACTGCTGTTGTTCAGTAAACATTTAGCTGAGATTTTACGGGATATAATGTTTAGCTTTTTATGCCAAACTCGCTGATTACCTTTGAGGAAATGTTTAATTGCTATGTCGATGTCAATTTTAGTATCTTGCTTTTTGAAAACATTTTTTCTTGCCATACTGCTGCGTGCATATGAGTGATGTTCTCAAACTATGGTATGTGTACCATTGGTGGTCCATGGGCTCACTGTATTGGTCGGCAGCTCTTTATTAAACTAAAACCTTCAACACTTGTTTTTTCAACAGATAATTTTCCTGAAATGCTGAACTGATCCTAAAAAACAAATCCACTCTGACTCCTTTTTCAGTTTGTTCTGAAAAAGGAGTGATATGAAACAAATATTTTATTTAGTCCCATCATGATTTATTTTTATGATAGAATCCAGTGATAGAAAAATTTAGTCATTTTGAAGTGATTCATATTTGTTAGTCATGTTTAATTTGATAAGGATGAATTGATTAGTGATCAATGTGTGATTAATCACTAAACTAATGTGAGTAATTAATCCACATCTTGACTGTGATTTAGCAGATTAAAGATTGTCATCGTTTGACAGCCCTGTCCGTGATAACAACAGTGAAGTGACCTTTGACCCATCACTATAGGAGAGGAAAGTGTGACACAACCAAATGTGATCTCTGTTTCTAACCCATCATCAAAGTCCGGGGAGCAGTGTGTGCGGACGGTGCCTTGCTCAGCACCTTAGTGTTAACTTGGCAGCTGGTGGACTCAAACCTTCCAGACCCAAGTCTGCTTCCTTAACCACTATCCCGCCGCTGCCCGTGTCAGTACGGTCTTGAAGAGTTGGTTTTCTTCTGTGTGAAAGCAGACGGCGTCATCAGGACAAACAACAAATATTTAAATCAGACACGTTGACCAGAGAAGAAATGTGAAAATGACCTTTTTGTAGAACCAGATTCCTAGTCCAGTCAACACTACTGCTGCTGGTACTGTAAGTCCAACTATGAGTCCAACTTCTGAAACAGAAACACGGCTCCATTCACACCACAGTTTTCACACTACACCACTGGATAAAGACACATTTGGGGTCGTGGTGAAAAATAGTCACATTGGACTTTTTCAACTCTGCATGAACTGTCCCTTTAACACCAGTTCTTTTACTCACTTGAACCTTTCTTTATCTTCAGATTGGTGCTGCTGATAAATGTCTCCTCTCTGTCACGGGCGTGGCAGGTGTATGCCCCCTGGTGGTGTTCTGAGGATAAGTCCTTCAGCTTCAGGACTCCGACCTCCGACCCGTTGTCCACCAGCTTCAGCCACCGCTCACTTACAGTCCTGTTGGCCCCAGGCTGAGTCAGGATGGTCTGGCTGTGGTTGAATGTCCAGGTCCAGACCCGGTCCAGGTCCAGGTCTGTCAGGGGTTTCTTTTGGAGCGTGGAGCAGGTGAGTGACACTTCTCCGTTTGACACTTCTACAAAGGCTGCAGTGATGAAGAACAGCAAATGTTCAGGAGTTGAGTTTTTGTTTCTGGAGTTAATGACCAAAGAGCTGCTAAAGAACGGCCCAGACCGGGGTCTCACTCCCACAGACCCACCAAACAAACCAAAGTCCTGTCACTGTACCAACCACAGTCGTGTGAGATGTTCCACCTACTGGTTTTGAAGAGCGTGCTTCTCCTGTTGCTGCTGCCAGCGGTGACGCTGCAGCTGAAGTGAAGCAGATCAGCGTTGTTCTGCGTCAGTGTCACGGAGCTGCTGATGTTGTACAGGTGACCCGGGCTCTCCTTCACTTCAGGGCCATCCCACTGGGTCATATTGTACCAGACCAGCTCAGGTGTGGGGTAAAGTCCTCCAGCGCTGCAGGTGATCGTGTTGTCCACCTGCCTCAGGTCCACGTCCTTCACTGGAGCTGCAAATTAAAAATGTCATTTCTTTAAACTAATCTCTCTGTCAGATCTAACTTCAAACAAAACATGGTTTTTTGTCAGATCATTTTCCTTCTGACCCCCCACCCTACCAGTCACACTCAGATTGATGATGGTCTGGTTGGTCCCCTCGGTGGTGGTGCTGGTGTAACACCTGAACATCCCCTGGTCCTCGATCTGAAGCCGTGTCAACTGCAGGGAGGCGTTGCCCCTGGCGATCAGGTCGTTGAACAGAGAGGTCCTGTACTGGAAGCGTGGGTCCTGGTGGGCGACCTGGTCCTTGTCATTGTAGTAGGAGTGGACCACAAGTTCTGATCCACCTATGAGCTGGTGCCAGTGGATCAGAACTTCTCTCCCGGGGTTGTAGTTGCAGGGCAGCAGACAGGTCCGGTTGAAGAGACAGGAGACTGGAACATCTGGGGGGGGGGGTTCAGTCTCTGTTAGGTGATAATAGGGGGTATCATTTGGCTCCAGTGGGAGGACGGGGGGGGGGCAACTAGTTTATTTAATCTAATATCTAAGGATCTAACGATGCATCGAGAATCGGCTAAAAATCTATTTCCTGTGTGACTGGTTTGGTTTTATTTTCAGACACGTTTCAGTTTAACTATAGTCTCTGGTTAATTCAATCATTTCCACCATTAACATCTTGTTTCTGAGAAGTTTCCCAACAGAACAAACTGAAACTAAAAACATTGGTATCTGAGGAATGTGACCTTGCTGGTTTTCAAGGAGTTTCAGAACAGAGATTAAACAAAGGTTTCTTGTTCTGGAAAGTCCTTTATCTTAATCTTCACCTGGTTTCTTTTGGGGGGTAGAAGTAAAAGCTCTGCTGTGAATTTTTGACAGGACCAAACTTCAAAGTGCATAAATCATACTTTAATGTTTCAAGGATTATTTTTATTTTGACATAGACGTGAATAATCTGAACCTGTGATCCCTGAAAGTCTGAGTCTGGGTTTAAGAGTCTAAGTCTCCTTGAATCATTGACGGTTATTTGTCTTCCTTCAACCTTTAATACTCTCTCTCTCTCTCTCTCTCTCTCTTTCTACCTCTCTCTCTCAGTTTAACTCACCTGTCAGCTACTTTAATGTTTCAAGGATTATTTTTATTTTGACATAGACGTGAATAATCTGAACCTGTGATCCCTGAAAGTCTGAGTCTGGGTTTAAGAGTCTAAGTCTCCTTGAATCATTGACGGTTATTTGTCTTCCTTCAACCTTTAGTACTCTCTCTCTCTCTCTCTCTCTCTTTCTCTTTCTACCTCTCTCTCTCAGTTTCACTCACCTGTCAGCTGAGTGAAACATTGGTCCAAGATCTGGACCCTGGTCAATGTAAATCTGTTCAGATTATCAGTAACTGGGCAGCTTCACACACACACTATAAACAGACACTATTTTTATATTCAGGCCTTGAAGGGGGGAGGGAGAGAGGGGCCACTGTGTCTGTGAACACCTCGAATGAATCCAGGAGATTTAAAATAATGTTTAAATGAAAGTCACTACAAATATATTTATAAATACAAATGTATACTCCTATAGTGTGTAGTAGTGACTGTATACTCTACGCCACAGAGCTATATGTATTTAACCAGTGCCCAAATACCAAGGTTGTTCCATCGTGTTGTACAGTGTCGTGTGTCTCTACCGCGGCTAAAGTCTGAACAGATCTGACAGCACGAAGAGTGAGACTAAAAATATCAGGCTGTACTCACCAGCACCGGCTAAAGTCCACAAACTGTTCAGGAACAACAGGACCGCCACAGCTCTGACCACTGACATAGTCCTGACATAGTGTATGTCTGTGTGTGTGTGTGAGCGTGTGTGTGTGTGTACACTAATCCAGTGCATGGATAGGCTCCTCCTTCAGACTGACGGTGCTAAGAATGTGTCTATGAATCGTACTGCAGAGATAAAAATTGATCATAATAATATTCATTCATTATAATCTCCCCCTGTCACTGACGTCACCTCCGCTCACGTGTTCCAAACACAGACCCTTTGAAAAACAAATCATGGATTCAGATGTGATTTTTAAAGTGATCAGCCTCTGCAACTCATTTAAATGTGTTGACTGAGAGACAGAAAGAAAAACAAAAATCACTGCAGTGAGGTGAAGGTCCAATAAAACGTTCCACCCAGTCAAAGGTCACCACGGCCGCCTGACTTTCAGACTGACTGAGTCATGGTCAGATGGAAAAAAACTATGGACACTTCCTTCTTTTTCTTTCTTATTTTTAGCTCATTTCAATCTTTATTATGACCAACTTTTGTTCTATCTTTTACCTATATCCAGTCTTTGCTAACCCTTTTGTGCTAACCTTTATTATCCTCTGCTAACTTGTATCACTGTTCCTTGTTCTATGGACAAATGGAAGGTGTGTGTCCTCGTCATCGTGACACACACACACGCACACCCTTTGTCTTCAGAAGTGTTTGTTTTTATTCATGATGTGCAGATTATACAGTAGGTGTTGCTCAAGAGCAAATGTCTGAAATACGTTTCCATTCACTGAAGAACCTGTGGTTCTGACCAGTGTGTGACCTCCGCTGACCTCAGGGCTCTTTACCCAGAAGTCTCTCTGTTCCTGCGCCGACCACGGCAGGAGTCTGTCCTTCAAATGTTTCGTTCACGTTTGTGATGATGATGTTTGTGGACAAGTAGAAAAATGGATCCAGAAGAATCTGCTCATTCACAACATCCACATCTAAGTGTCAACGTGGTTCCGTCCGTCACTTCCGGTCAGTGTGCTGGAAGTTTGTCCTCAGGTGAACTGAGCCGCTGCCCCCAGGTCTGTGCTTGTCCCTGAAACCAACACGGGGACAGTTAAGACTCTGAGCTGCTCCCATCTAGTGGTCAAACGTGGTAATCACTGACGTGGTAATCACTGACCTCGGACTGAGTTCAGCTCCGTGACCTCTTCAGGGTCATTTACGGCCTTTTTCCCTGCTTTCCCTGAAAAACACGTGATGGAAATCATGGAAAAAGGTCAAACTCCTGGTGTCTCCACAGGACGGTTCAGATTTATGAGCTCCAGCAGCTGCTGCCATCGTATTTTAGCTTTGAATTCACTGTGACCTCAGATAAAAAAATATGAAACAATGAATTAAAAGTTCTAGATCAGTAACAACGTTGTCATCATCTTGTCAGCCCACGTGGGCCACATCAGACGCCGCTCCTGTCCAGCCTGAGGCCCGGAGACATCCTACCTCTGAGCTTCACGTAGATCATCATTCCTGCCAGAGCCAGGAGCAGCCCGCCGATCACCAGACCCAGGATCCACCAGTGGGTGGGCTTCTCTGATGTGCTGCGCTCACCTGTGCACAGGTAACACACACACACACACACACACACAGGAAGAAGCTAACTGTTAACTTTAGCTCTTTAGCCTGAACTTTTCCTTTATTTAAACTTGTTTTTTTTTTTATAAATGTTGGACTGATTTCACACTGATCTCAGTGAGTTATTGATCAGCATTGATTTAACTCCAGTCTTTGATCAACCTCCTGCTGTTGTGACAGCATTTTGGCTAAACTTTATTTACCGCTGTGCTAACACTCGACTGTTTGGACATTTCATAAACTTATATCAACAACTCTGGTTTAACGTTCAGCTCTTTTTGTAGTTCTAACTTTGTGCTCTGTGTTTGACGCTAACGTTGAAATTGTTATTAGAAGTTGAAGCTCTTACTGCGTTCTTCTAAGGCTAACTGTTTGTTGTTTCTATGCTAATACCAACATTTTTTCTCTTTTTCCTTCATTGTTGTTTTTGTTTTTTGAGGTTTTCCTTTCCTTTTTTTGCTACTTCGTGACCTATGACCTTTTTGGGCACACTTTCCTGGTAACCTTTTTACAAACTCACCGACAGGGTTATCGATGATGACGTCGCTGCGTTCGGTGTGTGTGCTGAACGCAGCCAGGAACCTGCAGATGTAGCTGCCCGTGTGCTCTGAGTGTCTGGGGTCCATCAGCCTCAGGGACCCGTCGCCAAACGACACCCTGAAGCCGTCCAATTCCACGTGTCCCTCCCACCGAGGTGTGGACGAGCTGCGTCCAGACTGACCGTCGTACGTAAGGATGTGCGAAGGGCTGTCTTCACCGTTGGAGAAGCTCCACTCCAGAGATGGGCTGTTCAGGTAGGAAGGGGCGGAGCATGGGATGGTCAGGTCTCTGCCCTGGGCTCCTTTGATCTCTGCCACAAAGAGTTGAAATAGGAAACAGGTTAAATGGCAGAAAAGAAGACACAAAAAAAACCCACACAGTGTTCAATCAATAGTCCAAATATTACAGTCCCCTAAAAACAACCTGGATATGAACAAAAAGATTTGTCTGAAAACCCAGAAAACGTCAACTAAAGTTTAACTAGAACGTTTTCCTCCCTGTTCCAGGTCAGAAACTACGGCTGTGGACACCTCTTTCTCTGAGTGATGTGGTCCACGTGGGTCCCCCGTATGGGCTGCTGACCCTGCAGATGTAGAGCAGCTCTGGATTCCCCTTCAGCAGCCTGAGCCGGCTGTCCACGGTGAACAGACCCTGTTTGTCGGCCTGCATCCGGGTCACTGGTCTGAGGTCCTCGAAAGTGGGCGGCTCCGTTGCCCAGGTGACCCGGGGTGCCGGGTAGACGCCCTGAACGCTGCACTTCATCTCCTCGTAGCCACTCAGTCTGGACAGTTCCAGGTGCACGTCTTTGACAGGCGCTGGAAACACACACACAAACATGCAGGTACGCACACACACACACACACACACACAGTCAGTTGGGGGGATTCCAGGTTTTTCCCAGCAGCCCCTCTGAGGACGGGCTGTAAAGGTCAGAACTTAATATAACCTGACACAGAGGGGCTTCATTCTCACCAGATAACAGTGAGAGAGGAGTCAGGGGGGAGTCGGGGGAGTCAGGGGGAGTCAGGGGGGGTCAGGGGGGAGTAAAGAATAGAGACGAAGTGAAACAAACCCAAATCAGCAAAATGCTGACAAGGCAGTTTCATTTATCCGTTGGTGTTAACTGAGGGTGGTCAATATGTGGGGCTAGGCCGGCGAGCGTCTCACCTTCTACTTTCAGGACAACCTTGGCCTCGTGTTCTTCTTGGCTGGTGTGAACGTGACACCTGTAGGTGCCTCTGTCCTTCAGTCCGCTCCTCCTCAGGACCAGCGTTGCGTTGCCACGTGTTACCAGGTGTGGAAACACCGAGGCCCGTCCGGCCAGCTGTTTGTAGTCCAGATGTTCCACACTGTTCTCTCTGTCCTCGTCGTCTCCGTCCTCTTTCCCCTCAAACCTGTAGACCACTTGGCCTTGTCTGGACCACTCCACTGTGGCCGGAGCTCCGGGTGTGAAGCTGCAGGGGAGGACGCACTCCTGGGATATGAAGCAGGTCACGGTGACATCTGAGGACAGAAGAGGAGACCACGGTGACCACGGTGACCACAGCTGGTCTGGGTGATGTCCAGGAGCCATAATGTGGTCATGACAGAAAGAATGAGACTCACAGAGAAAGGACAGTGACGCAGCACACCACTGCACCACTGCACCGCCGCAAACAACCAACTGTGACCTCTGTTTTTAATTCATCACCACAGTCAGCAGGGGGCAGCAGTGTGTGGGGACGGTGCCACACTCAGAGCACCTCAGTGATCACTTGGCAGCTGATGGACTCGAACCTGAAGCCTTAACCACTGAGCCACCGCTGCCCCAGGCCGTGACCCTGACGTGGCCCAAACTAATTATAACCATTAGCTTTAAACCCGTGTTGGTCTTTTTTAGCTGTCGTGTTTTTTTGGAAACGTTGTTGAGGTGGACACTAAGTGTGGCCCATATTCTGGGCTGTTGTTGTGGCTTCGTTGTGGTCTAGATCTGAAAAAACAATGGGTCCCACACGGGCTGGGAATTGACACGAGGCTGAGCTGGAAACATCTGATGTTGAACTGAACCAAGCGGTTGGTCCGTTCAGACGGACCACATGATTCAACGGCCAACTCTGATTGGCTGTTGAATCATGTGGTGAAACTGTCAGGGTTTGTGGGTGACTCACGTGGGTCGGAGTCTAACGGAGTGAATCACACACAGTTTCATGGATCAACCTGTCATCAGCATTTGTTTGTTTCCTGCTGTGACATCACAGGTGTGGGCGTGGCCAGAGCAGTTCCAGTCACTAAGGTTCAGAGAAACGTTGAAGGTTTCTCCTTCCTCGGATTCTTCCTTGTTTCCTTTCACCTTCATCATGGTCTGAATCTTAAAATCATCTTCACTTTGACTCCTTTTTCCTACCCATCAACCATGTGTCCTTCTTTCATAGTACTACTGCTAGTACTACTCCTAGTACTACTCCTAGTACTACTCATAGTACTACTCCTAGTTCTACTGCCATCATCCTTCTTCACATCATGCTTTTTATTTAATCTTTTCTATCTGACGTTGTGCTCCGTCTCCTACTGTCCACCAGGGCATCGTCTGTCAATCATCCTAGGTCAGGTGATTGGCTGAAACCCTGTGCCTGTTCTCCAGCCTCTCCTTGTCCTCCTGAGGTGGAGTCAAAGTGTGGGAACAAACGTCTCCACCTGGAGTTGGAACCAGTTCAGAGAACTGAGCTTTTCATTCACTGCTCTTTTGTGCCGTTTGACTCACTCATAAATCCACGTGTTTTTACACCACGAGGTGAAGACGGACAGAAATTACCCAGAGTTCAATTCTTCCCTAATCCTTACAGTGACTATGATGGACTGCTGCTCCACCTGTATGTCCCAGCAGTATTGACCAGGTGCAGCCACTGACACCTGGTACCGGTGGTTGTTCTGTCCTGCGACTCTACCTGATGTGTGACGTCTTGACGGAGAAATGCTGCGGTTGGTGGCGCCGCCTTTGTTTTTGTTTTCCTCCAGACAAGGTGAGAAAAAACCTCAACCACAAACATGACGTTTGGCTCCGGAGAAAACTATTAGTGTTAATGAGAAAACAGGTGTAAATCAGCTGCGTCTCAGAGCGGATGACGTCAGACATTAAATCATGGTGAAGGCTGAAAAGAACGAGGAATGAAAGGTGAACGGAGCTCTGCAGGGTTCTGTTCCAGCTTGACTCCTACAGTGAGTCCTGATGTACAGGGTGTCGACCTACAGCTGCTGACGGTGTGAGGTCATGAACTTCAGTCAACAGTCAAACAACATTAGCTGGAAGGCTAACAGCTAAATATGTTGGTTCAAGAAAAACCTGAAAATGAAAGAGAAATGAAGACACCAAGTAAAGAAGTTGGAAGTTTTTGTTTTTTCATCCTGACTCAGCGTGAGATCCAGAGGAACCGTCCTGATCTCAGTGTTGGGTCGAAACATTTGAGTCCGTTAGAGTCCTGCTGGATCGTCCTGATCTCAGTGTTGGGTTGAAACATTTGAGTCCGTTAGAGTCCTGCTCTCAGTCAAAGTACAGGAGTCGATGCTGGTCCAGGTACAGACGGGCTCTGTTCTGGTTCCACCGTCTGGGATCAGATGAAGCTCTGGAACAAAGACTGCTTTGTTTCCTACCTGGACTTTTGTCCTGAGAACTGAGGCCGACCCAGAGGAGGATCCAGGTCCAGGTCCGTATCAGTGACATGACTGGGAGTCTCCGTCAGGTCCTGGTCCATACGTCCTCCACCTCTGCTGTGGTGGAGCAGATTGTTCTGGGTTCAGATCTCGGTGGGTGGTTCCACTTCACACATGCACAGACAGAAAAATAATTAAAGACCATGTGAGTGACGACGTGGACACAGAGAGAGAAGAACGTGTCAGAACACGAGCAGTTCACATCCTCGGGGGATTGGACTGAACTGGTCCTCACAACTATAAACAAGGACCAGTCGCTGCTCTGGAGGACCAGCAGCTGGTCTGGAGGACCAGTCGCTGGTCCTCTGATTGTCTGAATCACAGGAGAGGATCCAACTCTCAACTGGATTCTTTTTAACTCTGTGATTAAACATAATGACTTGGAGCCAAGTCCTCTGTAATCAGGAGGTTCCTGACAGCAGTTCCTGGTACTTTATGTTAAAAATGAAACTAAAACTACATTTGATTAATGTACCTTTTTTTTCAGATCAGAATTACAAAATATTAATTTAAACTTAAACACAAAATAGTTTTCAATTATTAACATCATTATTTTGTGAACTTAACGTGGAAGAAAAAACAGCCAAAACATTCTGTTCTGCAGCAGGAACAAAGACCAGTCGAGTAGATAAAACCAGAGTAAAATCTTGAAGGCTTTACCTGCCCCCTCCCACCCCCCTCCCACACACACACACACCCACACACACACCCGCTCCTACCCTGAGTCAATGATCAGTATCTTTTACTGCAGCAGTAAAACACTTGTTGTTACTGCCCCCCCCCCCCCCCCCCCNTCGTGCACATGTCAAACTTGAGCTCAATGGAATGAAAATAAAAACCCAGTATAAACACAGAGATAAACTAATCACAAATGTTGATCTTCAACACAGTCCACGGCTCAGCTGTGACATCCGACTGTTAGTTAGATCATTAACTTAACTTTGTAACAAAGTTGTTTGACAGGTCAGAGGAAACCATAGTGCGTCTGAAATGAAGCGGAGAAGAGGAAGTTGTTTGACAGGTCAGAGGAAACCAAGCAGTAGATGAACTTTGACAATTTAACAAATGTTACGAAAAAATGTAAAAAATTAGACAAATATTATCAAAAAATAAAAAGTGAAAAGTTGCTAAAGAAAAGCTAAATGTTAGCCAAAAATAGCTTCCCTGCAGCTGCTGCCTCGGTCCGTCAATTCAAACATGTCATTTTGTCAGACTTTTTCTCACGGTTTCTGACCTTCTCCGCCGCAGCAGTGGAGGTTTCTCACCTAAACCAAAGTCCATCAAGAAAATATGCATTTGTGGTCGTTGGGAACAAAGCTTTGTCTCACAGCAGTGGAGTGTGTTCTTCTTCTTCTACTGTCTCTGACGCCCAGCCCGTCGGTGGTCAGCGTATCTGCTGCCTGTCCCTGAGTGTTCCACGCTCCTGTCAGCAGCTTTGGTGTCAGCAGAGGATCAGTAGCTGCTGTGTGTTTTGATTTAAAAATCACTGCGTTCCTGTGTGGAGTCTGGTGACGGTGATGAGTGGACAGATGTCAGATAGACAACTGAACACATTCCAAACATATCTCACCTGAACGGTTACGATCGCAGCGTGACTTTGTCAACCGTTCCTGCTGTTCAACAAACGCCAACAAACATTTGTCATTGTATGTTAAAGGGGACACAGGTGCTGGTGGCTCACTGCTGCCCCGTGTGTTCAGAGATTGTTTTTGTGTCACTACGTTAAATCTGACCAGAGTATTTGTCGTCGTAGTATTACTTTGCCACAGTACAAGGACACTTGTATGTTAATGTTAAAAGTTTTTCATCAAGTGTAATAACAGCAGCTACGACATCTTTACCCCCTCCCTCCCCTCCCCACGCTGCCACCTGCAGGCTGTTGTGTAGAGCACAACAATCAGATTAAAGATCAGTATTTCATGAATAAAAAAAAAATGACAGTTTAATTTCCTAATCTGAAACACAAACAAACTTAAGTCTGTTTGAAGTTAAACAAACCAATTCACACTGATTCACACCTTTATCTTTAATGTTGACACAAAGTGTGTCAACATTAAAGATAAGAGAAACACAAAGAGCTGTGGAACATTTAGAAATGAGATGAAAATGAGCAAAAGTCAAGAAGTCAGACCAGAGGGAAAATGATCAAAAAAACCCACAATTTTAAAAAGAAAAGAATAAAAGTTTGCACAGAATCAGCAGAGTTTGTGCCATAAGTCCATCTATTTCTAGTTAATTTAGCTCAGCACTAACAAACCAGCACTAAATCTGTCGTCGTTAAACCTTAGAAATCTGGAAAATATGAAGCTAACGTGAAAGTCAGAAAATCAAAGACAGAAACTCACAGAGTCAGAGATGCAGCGGCCACTACTGCAGGAGAGGAAGGAGAAACTAGGAGGAGGTCTGGGTTCTCCTCTGAGTTCTCCTCTGAGTTCTCCTCTGGGTTCTCCTCTGGGTTCTTCTCTGGGTTCTCCTCTAAGTTCTCCTCTGTGTTCTCCTCTGGGTTCTCCTCTGCGTTCTCCTCTGGGTTCTCCTCTGGGTTCTTCTCTGGGTTCTCCTCTAAGTTCTCCTCTGTGTTCTCCTCTGGGTTCTCCTCTGGGTTCTCCTCTGGGTTCTCCTCTGGGTTCTTCTCTGGGTTCTCCTCTAAGTTCTCCTCTGTGTTCTCCTCTGTGTTCTCCTGAGACAGACTGAGAGCTGGACTGGACCAACAGGTTATTTAAAGAATAGTCTCAGGCTGTGAACGTGCACAGTCAGTGACGACATGGTCAGGTCTCCACACACACACACACACACACACACACACAGCCCTCTGAATGGGTGGAGTTTGGTTCTAATTGGCAAAGTTACAACTGCAGCCACCCACTCCCTCTCTCTCTCTCTCTCTCTCTCTCTCTCTTTCTCTTTCTCACACACAGTGTCCTTTGACTGCCTCTCTCCCCCCTCTCTCCTCCAGCAGCTCAGTCAAAAATGTCAGTGAAGTTAATTTTTCACAGTCATGAGCTGCGTTTGTTCTACAGCATGTGATGGACATGTGCCCCCACCCCCAGACACACACACACACACACACACTGACTAATACCAACACCCCGGTGATGGTCCTAAATCAGCAGTGAACGTCTCAGTCAGAATGTTCCGGTGGATGGTGGTGAACTGACGTCACTGGTTAAAGGCTGTGAGTTAGTGGGGGTTAGGAGGAAGTGAGAGTCAAAGTTAGTCACCACTGATCTGTTAGTCTGGTTAACAGGTTAACAGAACCTGACAGCCTGGTTATAATGAGTCAGAGTTCTGTTGAACTGGTTTGATCAACACTCACACCTGTGGTCAGTTTGTGTTTCAGGACTGGAGGAGGAAACTGAAGAAGAACACCCCCCCCCCTCG